CGTACATCAGTATATGCAATTAATCGGCTTTTGAAAAAATTTAATTTGTGAAAAATTAGAAAATTGTGAAATCGAATGCAGGATATTGTGAGAGTTCCATCAGCACAGGAATTATACTTAACAATATCAGCACAGTCTATGCAAGACTTGTATAATACTTATTGGGGGAAACAAATTAAACATAGTTTCTAAACTTTAATTTTAATCGGAAAGATCAAAAAATATTTTTAAGGGCAAAGTCTGTCTTCAGTGACTAATGAAAATCGATTTAAAATCGAAATCGTCCAAAGCAGGAAATAAAATCGAGATTTTACTTTTTTGCCATATCGCCCAGCCCTAATGCAAGTACAGTGTTAGAGAGTTTTGTTCCTTTTCAAAATTGGCTAAGCGATGTGCAGGGCCTGCTCTTAAGCACCTGTCACAGAGTCAACATTTCCCTCTTTCAACAACTAATCAATTATTGAAATCGTTTTCAATCATTGGGTCATAGTTTTAGGACAATACAGAGATTTAAGCATGCTGAGGATGTTCTCAAGACGCATTATTTTAGCTTTATGTTTGTCAAATCTATTCAAAAATCCCATATTTACAGCCCTCCCGTGATCCAAAATATGGCATGCATCTCCAGTATGGCGACTCTGATCACTGTGTGAAGAGAGAGGAAAAATGCCCACAACAATTGTAAAGCACTTTGGGACTCTGGTCTGTGAAAGGCACTATAAATAAAGATTACTTACTTAATTACTTATATATGCGGACAACTAATCATTTATTCATTATAAAATGATCAATTATTTAAAAAATAATAATTACAGCCCTATATTAAATCAATGCATTAATAACAAAAGAGAGAATAGGAAATAATGGTATTGTTTAACACTTAATGAAAAAAAGCAAATTGTTGAAATATTACGTGTCACAAACAAGAATCTTTGAGTTTGTAGGATAGTAAGTTAGTGAGTTGATCTATTCATGAATGTACTGTAAAAGAATACTTCAACATACATTTTGTTTTCTATTATTGCTATTTTATTAGTATTTTGTTATAATAGGTTAACACAGGTCAGTGACTTGTGAGCCCAAACACCAGACGATCATCACTTTCTGACCCATAAACATCTCAAAGTGCAGTATGTAACAGTGTAGACTACAAATGCTAAATGTAAAGTGTACCATAATTGTCCTGTAAATTGAGGTTATTTTAAAGGTTATTTAAAGAAAACTAAAATATAAAGTAATCTATCTTTCTGCACCAGATGCTATTTATTAGCTTAATAATGTGTTCAGTCTTTGCAGAGGCTTTTCCAAACTGCTAGGGCACAGAGAGTTTCCTTTTCAGACCAGAAAAATTACACAAAATGGTCGGAATTTTGTTTTCATAGCCTTTGTGTGTGTAATTCTGTGCTGACTTCATTCCACATGGATTTTTAATTTTTATTATTGTTGTGAGCTGATCTATGGCCTGTAGGATTTTTGAGTTATCAGATATGAGAGGTCTTGCCCCAAGTTTGAGAATAATAATATTCATAACTAAATAATAAATTGCAAAAAGGTGTGTCAGCTTGTCCACAAAGTTTGGGTAAATAATACGTTTGAGAATAGGTTTAGCCTGTTTACGTGTAAGTATGCATACATTAAGTCAATCATTTGTACAGTACTCTTTGAGTTTTTGTCACAAAAAATAATGGTGACGGACACACTAAAACCATGTTGAGTTCGAAAATCTACCCAGCTGCATCTGCAAGTTTAGATCATAGCTTAAACTACTGGAAAAAACCTGTTTGCGCATAAAGATAGTGTGTATATTTAAAACAAAGCAAAACAAAAGCCTTGGAAGGAGGCGCGTAACTATGCAAGTCCAAATATTTACAATGTATATAGTACTTTTACAATATATGCACATACCACTCCCATTGAAAGTACAGATGAACTAAAATAAACACTGCAAACCAAATTCAAACTCCAAACAAAAGTCAGCTGTTTGGTGTTGTGTGCAACTTACCCATTTCCTCCCACTCCCGATTTGGATGAGCTTGTTCCTGGTCGCTTTTTGCAGATCCCCTCTTTCTAGTCCTTCTCTTGGCGAGCTCCAGTTGTGTTGCTTCTAAGAGCTGCTGCAAACATGACAGTGACAATAAACAAGCGCATTGGCCACACATGACACACAAGTGCACTGGGCTCACTCCAAACCCAGAAACGCACAAAAGTGGCACGCGGCTTCTTTTCCAATGGCTACAAACTTACTCCTCCCCTCCCACTCCACCCCCACAAACAACTCAAGACTGAGCCGTATAGAGAAGACAGTACTCTCAACAACTTCTGTGGAGAGATTTGGAGAATATTCAAATTGTGCATCATATAAAAAACAGATTCTTTCTAGTTTATAATTTGTACATTACAATGCAAAAATATTATTTAAGTCAGTATAATCAAATTAACAACTTCGAAAAGTCTGACAGTGCTGAAATGTAAGTTTTATAAATAACAAACACATTAGCAAAAGTCACTGAACGTCTCTCTAGGGCAAAAGCGGACGGTGAAATGTTACCTCTCACTTGCCATGTTAAAGAATAATAAAAGGCTTGATATGTATAGAAAATATCATCTGGTTTATGCATAGTTTCCAAGTAGGTGTAAGTGTAAGAACCATAAGTTGCCATAAGACTGGAGCCATTATAGCAGAGATGACAGCATCTTGTCAACACTGCAGGACTTCTTTCCAGCTGGCATCTAAATTTGCTGCACAACTTTGACTCGCTCATGCCCTCAGTGCTGGTTTGGTCCATCTTGAGGATATGAATGGCGTCACTAACTCATGACAGCTGTGTCAAACTATTAGCAAGCAATAAGAAGCACTGTTGTTCAAAGTTGGAAAACTAAACATTAACGTTTCATCGTCATTCAGTTTTAGCACTTATATGGAAAAAACAGATAATTATATGGAACAGTTGAATTATATGGTTATAAAAAGGAACAATGCATTACTATGCAATAATGGCAATTAGAATAGAATTACACTGCACTATGATCCCTAATCTTCTTTCTAACTGTCATTTAGGCTTTAAGGGTTCTGCTTAGTTTGGAGATGCAACCTGTCTGGTTGTGTCTCAAAAAAAATGAAATTCAGTACAGTACACTTTGTGTCCAGGAATATTAATTTACTCTTTGAGCAGCATTCAAGGAAATGGGATCTTATCTCGAGGTGATAGATTGGACCCAGAGGTTCTTATGATGACGTCATTACATGTTTAGAGTCATGGGTTTGGGTTTGCGGTGTAGTTTAGCACCATCTAGTGTCGAGTCTCTGTAAAACTATGACTCCTCACTTGTTCAGTAGCAAAGAACATTTAAATAAATTGAAACTGTTTTGCTCTGCAGCTTTTAAGAACAATCTGCTCAGATAAAGATTGAGCTCCAAAGTCTCCATTAATTGTCTTTATTAGATATAAAGGCGTAAGGGTGAGATTGATCCAACAGTTAAAACTATTCAAACAAAGAAATACAAAATCCAGATTCTGTAACTCACCTGTAGGCTAATTGTGGCTAAGCTAACTCGATCCATCTCGACGGTTTGTCGCTGGTTACAGTCTATGGTTTAAATATGTTACTAACGGTTCTAAAAATTACATACATTCTTTGCAAATAATACTTATACTTTAAAAGCACGTAGCTACCTGACCCTGACCGGGCAACATGACACGTGCTCCGGGCTGACTGGGATGATGAACTCACTGTAGATTATAATTATATATATTTTATATATGTTCAAGTAGTGCATAAAGAATTCTTACAAAACATTTTGTGTTGATAAAATTATATTTACAAAGTTCTTTGTTATGAAAATTTAATACATTAGGTAAACATTTAAATAATTGTAACCAAACATAATATATTCAAAACTACTATCTTCAGGTAATGATAAAATGGCAATAAATAAATGTGGGGAGAAATGACAATGCTTAATATTGATATGGCATTTATATGTAAATTACTATCCATCCAAATAAGCACAGGACACACTGATGGTTTCTCTTCCTGTATGCTACAACTGGATTGTCAATCATTTGTGCCACTTTCCAAGAGGGATGTCACAGTGCAAGGCAGGGTATTGAAAATTAGACACCTTTTGTGTGTAAGATAAACCTTATTGATTTTGTATTTTTTTTGAAAATTACCCTGTGTTTAAAATACAATACGTTTTCATGCGGCCTAATGAGAGGACTCTCTGTAGCCCTTCTTTGCTACAAACGAAACATTTACTTTACAAAATTGTTCCTTTACAACACATGTGTCAAAGTCAAGGCCCGCGGGCCAAATCCGGCCCGTGAATGAATTTTACATGGCCCGTTGCCTGCCATTGACGCACGATTACGTCAATTACGTTTTCCGCTATTTTTATGTTCCCAGATGTCTATTATATCTAATATGTTTGGGGATAAGCTTGAGAGCATATTGAATCGAGCCAGCAGGTGGCAGCAGCGCTCTCTGAATGGTTTAAAAACAGCTAGATGCACTTGTTGTGCCTCTTTTTTCTCAGCTTTTTGGTGATTTCAGTAAAACTTCCCCCTACTCAACTGGGGATTACAAGCTAGAAACAAAATTATTTTTGCTGATGAAAGTAGACAGTCTATTCTTTCAGAATCTGGTTTCAGATTTCAGATAGTCATAGTACACAATAATCTGGTCTGGTCTTTGAAAAAATCATTAGAAACTGATGGCAATATGGGAGTACCTGTTCTGAAATAGGCTGGCAGGCAATGAGTTAATAAACATTGAACCAGTCCGGCCCTCGGCTCGCAGAAAATTTGTTTTTTTGGCCCTCTGATGTATTTGACTTTGACATGCCTGCTTTACAACATTGTTCCTGAGCTTTGTCTTCATTTTTGCCGCCGTTGCTTTACATGTTTGATAGGAGCCAGTCAATGTTTCTGTGTTTTTAAGTGGTAAGCCAAGCGCTATAGGTGTTGTATTATGAGCAGTTGATCCAAAGAGCAAATTCTTCATTCCTGCATCAGAATTTCCCTCCAGTTGAAGCTGTGATTAGGTCCGTGTGTCAGTGGCAAAATGGGCGGGTTCACCAGCTGCCACACACCTGATTCTCCCAACTCTTCACAAGCACAAAACCCCAAGTAAGGAATCTGTGCAGAGAAAAGAAGACAGATGTGATTATGCATAATGGAGAGATATAAGTAGGGGATTAGGACAAGAGGATTTAAAGCATATAAAAGAAGGCACACAGACCTTTCGAACAACTTGAACAAAATCTTTGGAGTTTTGAGGGCTTAGACCTTGTATCTGGCGAGTGCAAGCCTCCAGGGAAGAAGCATGGGCAACAATCAAGACTGTGCTCCCTGTGTGAGAATATGATCATGGAGTCATCATAGCCACATTTCATTCAATCATTAATACATGGAGGTTGTTTAGTGACATTACCATGGTTTCTGCACTCAGACAGAATCTCACGGGTAACTTGGAAGCTCCGGCTGATGTATGTATCATAGGACTCAGACGCGATTAACTTGCTAACTGGGAAATGAGGTCTAAGGACAGAAGGATGTGGGTTACCATATTTACATATTTAAAATGGATATTATACTTTCTGGATTATCAGGCACAGCAGCTAAATTTTAAAATAAGTTAAGGCAGAGGCTTTCATATTGTAATGTGACAGACAGACAACAGTTTTAACTGTTTATAAAAGTGATGTCAAACTATTAATTTAACTGACAGCACATATATAGTTACAGAAATATGTCAGCTATATATAAATATACACAGAAACATGCTATATATAGAAACATGTCAGCTAAAAAATCCAAATTTCCATCATTTTTTACAGATATTTGTGTTTGTAAACTTAATCTAACTGATATAATTGCAGACAGTAAAAAGTTATAATAATGCTTTTTACACTGTATTTTTAAACTTATGGTCACTTTCCAATGATGTTATAAAATTAATTGCATGAGATTGTTATGTACTGTTTATTTTTTATATGCATTCCAGATTCTTTAGTAATAACCTGTAATAGCTGCAATAACATTGTAATGCACTGTAAATAAGTTCTGCTGTGGAAACTATGTACCTGTATGTTGTATCCAAATTGACATTAGCAGCTGCCAGTTCAGTGGGAGGGATCCAGGAGGGTAAACATGTACCTGAAACCCACTTGGTCCATTCAAACAATCCAGGCTCCACACGAATTTTTACCTTTTCATCCTGTTGGAGACCTTCCATTTAAGAAAGGAATTAAGACAGTAAGATATACATGATCATATTTTAAAATGGTGGGATGTGGTCATATAGTGAGCATTTGGATGTTAACTCATTGACTGCCATTGACCTGTGATTTCTCTCCAACTTCGACTGGGGATTACAGAAGAACAAAACTAGCTAGAGACAAACTTATTTTTGCTGCTGAAAGTAGACAATCCAATCTTTCAGAATCTGGTTATATATTTCACATAGTCATAAAACAAATCAGTTAAATCGTCAAAAACCGCTGGAAGTCAATGAGTTAAGGGAGTGGGAACTGAATGGATCTTATTTTTGTCTGGATTGAATTTAATAGCATAATTTATGCTATTATATCAGTGTATCCATGAACTGGCAAGACCACTCATAGATTACCCCCAATGAAATTTCAAATAAAACTAGTGGGATTGATCCATCCACACACTGGACCGGAGTTTGTTCTCTCTGTGTTTATGTAAGCGATAGGACACTTGTCTTGAGTTGAAGCGTAAAATATAGAAATTTGTTTTCAGAGCGCTGGGGTCACCAACAGTGTTTTCCTTATCGCAGAAGAAGCTGATTAGAGCTGCTCAAACAGACTCTTAGACTTCATAGAGCTAGCATGTTAGCAATGTCAATCCGTATATGCAGTCTATGCTTGGAAAACACAGACTTTTGAGGGTAAGGCATCTGCCTCTGTCTCTCAGCTGGCATGGAAACACTGAGAGATTCCCCTGAATGTACACTAACCCTTAAATTAAAGAATAAACTAAACTAATTCACCTAAAAGGCATTCTTTATCATCTAGGATTGTTGAGCTGTATTTTCATATTTATTATGGTATTCTTTTCTTGCATGATAAAAGTTGGTGGATGGTGCAACAGGATATCATATTTAAATGCATTACCCTTAAGAATGTGCTGAGCAGTCTGAATGCAGCGAAGAGAAGGGGAACTGTAAACAAAGTCTATGACTGTGTTGCTTTCCAATAGGGCTTCACCTAAAAACAGGATAGAAAATTTAATCATTTCAAATGGAATGTGAGATCAATTTCAATATTACACACCCACAAGTCGAGCCTGTGTTGAGCCAAACACTGTGATCGGACAATCTTTGTCATAGTCTCTCTGACTTCCACTTCTGGTTGGTAAACTGGATGGCATGTTGAGATTTGAACGAAAGTAACGACCTAAGAAAAAGATTTTGTTTAAGTGAAAGCATATTATAAAGTGACAGTATAACATCTGTTTATCTAGATTTTACCTTTAGAATCAAAACACTGTGTAATCCAGTGTTTTCCAAACACCACATCCATCCTCTCACCATGGCGACACACAAACAACCGCCTCTTAGATGGGCAAGACTGTGGAGCTGACTGTGGCACCTATGGAAGTTCCATAGAGATAAATGTTAAAATCCCAATTTAATATTTTCTTGTATACATCCTTGTTACCTGCATTGGAGGACAGAGGCCAGAAAGGCTCGGCGTATCAATGATGCTGTCTAGTAGACTGTCATTTATCGGTCCATCAAATAATAATCCTCCCACATTCCTACCAGAGGCCAGCTGAGAGGCAGAATTGTGGATGGAGTGAGAACTGTCGATCAAATCAACCAAATGTTAGTGTTTTCATAAATGCACAAAAATGACAGACCATTGGTTTAGCTCAAATACATTTATGTCAAATGATTTGTTGGAGAAATACATGGAGACGTGCAGGATGTCTCCAAGGAAGATAAAATGGCCCTCTAATATACAGAAGGTGCATCCTTATTCTCTGTACAGCACAACCTACTGTACTTACCCATGGACGACCCAGGTATCAGACTCATCTGCTCGGCTCACGTAGTTTTCAGGCAGGAGACCGGACAGACCTGTGCCCAGGGATGTTCCGTAAACCCAGCCTTCACTGGCAGTGCTCTGCTCCACTGGAGACATGAAGATGAAGTCTCCAGGCGTCAGCTCTAACTCATCATCATTCTGAGGCAAGTAGGGGTACATCACTTGAAGGGTCTACAAGAAAACAAAATTCAATATTTACTATACTTTATTGCAAAAAAATAAAAATTAACTGTTGGTATACCTCATGATTTGCAAAACGAATGTCTCTGGAGAAAAGCACAGCTAACCAGTCACTGCCTGAGGCTGTATCAATTTCTTTGGCAAGCTTCTCCAAAATTTGCAGATGATTTGTTTGGAAGTGATATGCCAATGTGACATGAAGTTGCTTTTTATGTGGTTCAATATGAACATCTAAAAGGAAAAGGAAATGAGTATTAGAAATATTTAACATAATACATATAATAGTATTATATGTTTATCTAAATATATCAAATTCTAGCACAATAAAGTACCATACCTGCTTTAGCTTCTGCTTCAGTGGAAAATTCAGTTGCAAAACTCTTCAGCACCTCCGCAACCTGCTCTTCCACAAAAAGGCCCAGAAATGTAGTGGATGTGTAGAGCTCGAGAGGCAAAGGTGCAGGGATCCGCCCCTTCCATTTAGTCACAGTGCTCAGCAAGGCTTCCACCAGGGCTTCCACCTTTGCATCTGGACACTAAGAATGGAGTTAAAACAATGCTTCAATTAAAGAGAATTAGTATTTCGTAATTTTGGATGTGTGTGTTGTTGCATAGCACACGGACCATGAAGAACTGGCAGAGGGTGATGTGGGGAAAGATGTTATGTGCCTTATTCTTCCCACACAATGATCGAGACAGCTGCCAGAAGTGAGAGAGCTGCTGCTGCAGTGGGCCACTTGGTCGGAGGTACAGCACGTACTCTCGAGGCAGAGGGTCATCCAGGAACGGGTCATCCACGTGAGAGAAGAGCCTGGACAAAAACAAAATATGATTAAATTCGTTAGAACAAGACATTATTATGTTATCATACTCAACGTGATCAGTAATCTCACCAGTCACAAGCGGCTTGGACATTTTTTCCCCCAGTTGAGACCAGAGCTTTTAATCTGCAATAAAAACAGTAAAAGGAGAGGTTATGTCACAAAAATCTGTAGTTTAATCCTCATTTTGTAACAAAGTCAAGTAAACTGTAGCGTAAGTCAACACATAGCAGTTACAAAATTAGCCTTTTTTGCTCCTAGTAATAATTTTATTTTGTTTTCAACACTGATATTTTAGTTTTGTAGACTAAAACATCAGTCTACAAAACAGCTTGTTGGTCCAGTTGTTTTTCAGTCCAACAATAACTGTACTAAAAAATAAAAAAAAATACAGAAATTATATAATTTAAAAAAACAAAAATCAGTAGACTTCTTCTGGGTGCACAGTTTGTCAAAATGAAATTAATAATCTTTCCATCCATTTTCTTCTGCTTTATCTGTTGCCGGTTCGCGGGTAGAGCATTCTAAGTAGAGATTCCCAGACTTCCCCCAGCTCATCCGGGGTAATCCCGAGCGTTCCCAGGCCAGCTGAGAGACATAATTATAGAGATAGGGTGAGGAGCTTGGAGTAGAGCTCCTGCTACTCCACGGCAAGAGAAGCAGTTGAGGTGATTTTGACATCTGTTTCTGAGGCCTCCTGGAAGCTTCCCATGGGAGGTGTTCCAGGCATGTCCCACCGGGAGGAAACCCCAGGGAAGACGTTGAAGGGACTAAGGGAGCGCCAAGCCACTCAGCAGAAGAAACCAATTTCGACCGCTTGTAACCATGATCTCATAATTTCGGTCAATACCCAAAGCTATGACCATAGGTGAGGGTGGGAACGTTGATTGACCGGTACATTTCATTTTCGACATCGCCTTGAACTTGAGCAAGACCTCTCCACCCACCAAGAGAGCAAGGCAACCGTTCCAGTGCATGTTGAAGGTCCCAGTTTTTTTAAGCCAACAGTCCGTCTCCTCCTCGCCTCTGCAGAGCAGCAGCAGCAGCCGTAGCCGAGCAGCAGCAAGTGACCCGCTCATGTCCCTGCTTGGTCTCACTTGTTTGTGCAGCTCTTACGTGCACTTGTTGATAACATAGTGAGGCCCCAAATTCTACGATTAGCTAGCTACTGTTTACTTTCTAAAAGTAAAGCTTGACTGGCATTCAGTGAAGCTAGGTAGGTAGTTAGATGGATATATAGATAGAGACTTTAATGATCCCCGAAGGAGAAATTCAGGTGTCCAGTAGTGACAACAACAAAAAAGCCAGTGTCAAGAAAAGCGTTATTTGTTTTCACTGTGCATCATAAAATTGAAATCAGACAAGAGAAAAGTGTTGAGAATCTATCAACAATTTGACAGATTTACATAATGTATGTTCTAATCTGTCAATCCACTGCACTAGGAAGATCAAGCTGCACACACAGAGACAGAACAAAACTGACTCCATTCAAGAAACAGGTAGGTTTAAAGGCCAAATGTCTCTGTGAATGCCACAAAACCATGAAAATGGTCATTTCTGTTTTGTGGGTTGGATGATGTTGATGCAGCCATGTTTACTCCAAGTGTCTGCCAAAACTAATAACAAGTGTGAGAGAATCAAAGAATATTGGTAAATTTCATACATTCACTTGATAAATGTATTTCAGCCCTGGTCCACAGATAGTCTTTGCTCTTGAGAATGAAACTTTAAAACAGTGCACAGTTCCATGTTCTGTCTCTATTAGAACAACAAAGCTTTCATTTCACTGCCCCATTAGAACAACTGTACTGTTTTAGAAGACTGTGGTGCGTGTCACTATTGAGAAATCTCAGGCCAATTGAAACTGCACATTAGATTCTTTGGTTGAACAAAGTACATTACCCTTGTGTGAGACAAACTCACTGTCAAGCTCATGAACTCACAGAGGGCTATATTTACATTGGTCCCAGTGACAGAGACCTACATTTGCTGGTGTCCCTAAACCCTGGGGCAGTAAGTCCGAAGTACAGTAGATAGGACAGAAAGAGCAGACAGGCACCACACACGCCCACAAACAATCAATGTATGTGTAAAGTAATTATGTTTAGGTTTTAATGCAAGTTTTATGCAAGTATTATATTTATAATACTATCGACATTAAGATATGAAAATGACTTCACCTGGAAGATCATTTTCATGATCAGGCCAAGCAATGGTTTCCCACATTACAACTTGTACCTGCACATATGTGTTAAATTGAGTATAAAGTATGATAATGTATTTGATATGAAATTTCACTCAAGGTTTACATTGATGCATGTATCTAAGTATCAAATTGAATGCTTTCTGTCTCTATATTAATTTTCCCTTCCAGACAATCTGCAGTATCGTTATTGTTTTGACATAATTGGGTAAATGCAGAAGAGCTAACATGCACAACTGGAAACACAAGCGTGTACACATGCTGTGCCCTTTGAAACGGCTCTGATTCAAACTGGATGGTTTGACAGCAGGATGTCAAGCATTTCATGTGTAAATTATTATTCGAACTCTCAGATGTTTTATAAAGCGGTTTTTCTAAAAGGGACTGAAGTTATTTCCTCCTGGGGTTTAAGTGAAAGAAACATGACTTCCTCAACAAAACTTAAAAGTGACCCGAGTTGGACCATGGACTGATGTGCACTGAAGTCCCAGGGGCCACTCCCTGAGTCCGTTCTCTGGGCAATTCAACATTTCCTGTTTACAAGCAATCTGAAGAGTCTTTTCTAAGCATTCATCGCACTGAACTGAGGAGAAGACAGTGTTCTAAAGAATATCTATCTGAGGAATAATCAGACAGACATCTGCAACAACTGGAAAGCATTTAAGCTGCATAGCCAAAGTAAATAAAAGATCAAAGAGATATAACTGCAACAGAAAGTTCAATCACTGAAAGGATCTGCTGTTTAACACGTCCAAAAGAGCAAAGAAAAAGATACACTGTTCCAAAGGCTTGTTATATATTTTTATTTTTACTATTCTCAGCCATCCTAAAACCTCCATTTCAACACTGCTCTCTAACGCTCACAAGCTAAACTTCCGGAAATGGACCACTTCCTCCAGATTGTTTCAAGTACGTGGTTAATGTCTGAGCTGCATAACCAGACACAGCATCATCATGTGAACAGAAGTTGCTTTTCTTCAGTTGAGTAAAAATGTATGTCTGTAAAATCCTTACATATAGATTGCTCAGTGATTTATCTGAAATCACATAAGTGTCTTACTCTTACTTTATTTTGTTAAGTACTTTATTTTGAGTACTTGCCGATACCAGGTACCAATACCAGACATGATTTAATTTCGGATGTGTATCCTAGGCCAAGAAGTTCAAACCAGACAAAAAGCAGGAGTCATTTTGTTACATTACAAGTCCTGCTCATAGAAAAACCAAAAAACAGTTAAAGTGCCCCAGGTGCATCCTTGAGGTCCTTCATCAAAATGAAATGTCTATGACTTTACCTCTGCTTGTACTGTGCATGTCAAATGGCAAATCATAAAAATCTTTAACATAACTGCCTGATTTTACCAATAAACAATATGACTGATTGGCAGATATAAATCACATAATTTAAATTGTAGAATTTTTTATCCTTGGTATTTTAAATGTATTACTATACTATAAATTACTATTAATATACTATATTTTATCATGGTTTACGGTAAAATTCTGCATTTAAGTGTGCTTTGCTCTGTTTTGGGAAGATCCACAAATACTGTTTAATGATACATAATGTATATTTGATTTTATTTCCATAAATTGCCAGTATGGAGGCAGTAAAATGATAAATTGCCACATAGGATAACTTTCAGACGGAAGTCCATCACTCTTCAGCTGAGACCACTGTTTCTGTTCCTAGATCACATTACACTGTCCACCTTTGGGTGACTCATCACTAAATCCCCACGGTTAAAACAGTAAAGCAAGAATTTCCAAAAACATGCAGCCATTATTAATAGAACTCTGCATTTAAAAGCAATCGTAGAGTGCAGACCTCCACCAAGAGGGACCTCTGGCTCTGCACTCTACTTCCTACAGTAGAGTTGACTGTGGGACCAATAGAGCACACAATGCAAAACCAAAATTGTTGCGTTATGGCGTGAACAAACGGACTAACTAACAAACCCAAGCAATAAAAATACCTCTCTTTATCAATAACATACATAGTACATGTAGAGTATATTAACCAAGGTAACACAACTGGCTATTGCACCTTATGTCTTTTTACATAGGTATCAATAATAACTTTATAAAATCATTATTATATTTTGCTTATTGTCTATATGTAGACTTGCATAGAAGGGTAAAATAACCCATGCTGAAGTTATCCTCTGCTACACAAGGATGAGTTCTTGTCATCAAAGATGTCACATGTTAAACACTGAAGGAAGTGGTGAGAAATTACATTCAGAGTGAGACAAATAAAACTATCTTTAACTTTGAAATGAGCTCCCATATCATAACTAGCATATATTACATTGTTATTTGTGTATAATATAAACAATGTGTGTGTAACGGTAATTATAAAAAAGAAAGAATGTAATATTGCTTTTGAGGAGGAAACAACGTAGTTACGAGGAGCTACAGAACCCAAACACATCAAAAGGGCATAATTTTCAGAGCTGTGTTGGGTTATTGTTACTTCTGTTTGAAATATTTATCTGTGTACATGATTTATATAATCTACTACAATTTCACAGTATGACTGAGTATGACTAGGTGTGCTGCAACATCATGTCTCAGAGATGAATGGAAAATGCTTGTAGGATTGCCCTGTGAGAGCTGACAATAGCAGATGAATCACCAGATACGTCTAAACACCATGTGATTTCTGTCTGAAAAGAACTATACAAAATAGTATATTCCCATTTTAATTCTATTCCATTTGCTTGATGTTTTTGCAAAAAGTGAGTGCGCACTTTTGAGTGCGTATGTGAAATAACAGTTTCAGCCAAGCCTACATTGACAGTGAACATCGAGTCACTTCTGAAATGTGGTCCAGTCGTGTACTCACGCCCTGGTCTTGGGGAAGCCCATGGACAGCAGCACGTCCAGAGTGGAGCCGTGTTTGATGGTGCTGGGCCGGCTCTGGCGCTGTCTGCGCGGGGTCACTTTGGCATACAGGTCTTCTTCTTTGGCTGCCATAACTCAGAGCTCCATCGGTATGTCCGCTCCTCGGCCGCGCTGATGGGCGCTCATTTAGTGAACTTGATGCAAGCGGAAGCTGGACAAGGCAGTGAGATTCGTGTTACGCGGAAGAGCATTGAAATAACAGCCCCGCACCGATTCTAGTAAGAGAGAACCGTATACAGCTGAAGTCAGAGCCAGGGTCAGCCATGGGCAGTCTGCTGTCCGCTCAGTCCACTCTGCTGGTTACGGGGCCCTGCTCGCCACTGACTGTCCCTGTGCGGAGAGCAGAGATGTGCATGTCATTCCCTCACGCAAACTCTTTATTTATGAATGGAGTCGAGTGTGTGTCAGGCGCAGCTTCAGACTGAAGAGGCTTCGGTCTCTGCTGCACCCCCTTTTTTAAAGAGACAGCACCGAGCACACAGCACACGGAGAACACACAAACTCCGCTGATATTATCATTAAACGGACCACTGCTCACAGTACACGGGCACAGGGCGCAGTGGAGAGCAGCTGAATGCAGCCAGGCTCGCCACATTTCACGCTGTACTTCGCTGGAAAGTCTCATGAAAAAGTTGTACGTTTCCTGTATCGCACACAGCACGCGCAGGCGCAGTGCAAACAAATAGTGTAAACAAGAAGTACATATCTTCATTGTTTTTTGAATAATTTGTTTTAACTTTTATACAAATACCAACTGAACCATTGTATTGGCTTGTGAACATGATACAAAAATCATAATTATAATCAAGAATAATATAAGGTGAACTCCTTGTTTTGAGTGAAGAGACTAATAATTATTTTTATTTTGGATGACCACCGGCTACAGTGAGGATTTATGTGATGTGACATGATACGGGTGAGACAGACTCCCCATTGATAACAATTTATTTTTTGGTGTAGCAATTCTAGATATAGATTTAGAAGTAATAACAATATTTTTTAATTGACAATGTATTTTCTGTAGAGCTTGACATTCAGAGCATTATCAGAATTATGGTCCCAAAGTGATGTGTGGTGTCATGGACTTGGAAATACAACAATTCACGTCCAAAGGAAGCCTCTCTTCACTGTATCAGCAGCAGGATTTAACTAACGTTACATGTAGAATGTGTCCTCCTGTGGACTCACCACCTGCAGAGGGTCAGTGAGGGGCTGGTGCTATGAGACTTGGGTGGCATCTCTGATTTCCACCCCCCTGACCCAGAAATGGATTAAAGGGTAGAAAATGGATGGATGGATGGATACATGTAGAATGTATGGCCAAACTTGCAGCTGTGGCTACAGTAGTAGTTAATTACCAATGAGTATGGAGTGAATGAATAGTGACATATGAATCTCCTTTGAGTGTCTAAAAAAGCACTATATACTATGTAAAACTAATGCATTATTATTTATGAAACATACAATACGAATACATCCTCTACACTGAATGTTTTCTGCACTATTTCACAAATAAGGTATCACTCTTTATTGAATTATCTCAGCATAACAGCATAATAAACTTTCATTGATCAATATCAGTGTTAAATACTCAGCACCTATATAAAAAACATCAAAACTACAAAATCCAAGGATACACATAATTCCTTCAATAAAAAGGAAAAAACAAAAACAAATGTGAAGCATAATTGAGGCTATACAAAATGTGTCAATACAGGTTACCAAACACTTGGTTCCCAAACACCATTCATGCGTTTGTTTTAGTTTGAATAAAAAAAAATGTAATCACGTTTGAGATGTCATAAATATCAGAAAATAGAACCAAAACCAACAAGCACAATCTCACTTATCTACAAACACAACACAATAAAAATCACACACACAAAAACATTACACAACAAAGGCTAAACAACAAATGATGATTTCTGTTTAAAATCCCCCTGGAAAATATGGAAAATATAAACACATGGATGTTATTTTTACTCACTTTATTTTGGAATATTGCTGTTAAAAAAATGAAACTTACATCGTCTTCCTCGTCACCTCCATACACTGACTGAGGCTGGTAGACAACGTTCGGCTTTGGCCTAAGAAAAATAAACACCAAAAGGGTCATTCAAACATGTTTGTATTATGATAACATTTCAATTCTAAGTAAGACAAAAAACTCACTTGTCGCTCTTCTCTGCAGGAGAAATAAAGAAAAGCAGATTCCTTTGTTAGTTTAATTGGACAATAGTATCAATTCTTAGGAACTTAATTACATTTCTGTATGCTGTAACATACAAGTCATGTTTCAAACGAATCCATAATAAACTATTCCAAAACTTCACCCCATTCATAGGAAAAATCATTTCAAATACATTTTAAAAACCCAATGTCTGAATGGGATCAATCATGGAGCATGTTATGACTCTGAAAACCAACTTTTATTGAATTCTGCCCTTATATGACTCTTGGGGTTGGGTGGAGGGTTGATACAACTGGACAGTAGACTGGGTGCACGTTCAAGTCTTTTTGACATTTTTTATTTAAAAGATAACAATTTTACTAGTTCAACTTTGTTTTTCTTCATATACACCAGTTTTGAATTACTTTATGTATCAAGCTCTTTCAAACAGATAGAACCCTTAAAACACATTTTGTTTTTGAGTGTGATTAAAAGATGATTTATATTTGACCAAATATTTTAGGCAAAACAATCACTTAAGTGGAATTGGATCAAATATTACAATGGTGCCGTTTAGACGAGGACGCTGCGACAGTAAAATGTTTAGAGTTGGGTATTGGTTTACATGAAGACGGTGTTTCAGGAGGGTCTATGGGGAAACGCAAGTGTTGAGAAACAGACTACAGAGTGGAACAGAACAGATGCTGCTCAGTGAGGGGCTCTTTCACAGCCGCGTGAAGAATAAGGTGTGAATTCTGTGTACAATGACCTCCCCGCTTTCCCGCACATACATTTGGACATGCGCAGTAGCCAAGAACAGATGCAAACAACTATGGTGGCGGATCAACTAATGCTAGATATGCTTCGAGGGCAAAACAGAGGAGAATTGTACTCTTTCGTCGTGTAATTAAATGCAGAATGATGTTGGTGCATTTTTTCACATCTTTGCCGTGGCCTGAGGCGGATGTTGTTGAGGAGGTAGTTATACTGCTGGGGGTCGTGTGTGTCGTGTTGTAAAGCTCCACTGCTCACTACTAGCCGCTCACTACTGGCCGGGCGCTAGAACAACAGTGTTTTCCGTTGTCATGTAAATACTGTGCACTACAAATAAGGAGCCTGGTCGTTTTTACTAATCACTTTGCAGCGTCTACGTCTAAACTGGGCCAAACATTGATTTAGCGTGGCTTGATACTTGTCAAATAAACAACTCTCCTTCAGGATTGGGAATCACACTCTGACTTCAATAAATTGTTAGGTGTCCCTGACTGACAAGAACCACTAACACTATAGACCACTTCATAGCATTATGAATCCAGTCAAGAACATTTCAACAAATTGGGTTGTCAGCCCCTGGACTAGCCTGGTGAACTAAAGTGAACTTATTACTAAAACGATTGGACATCACTGCATTACGCAAACCCCAAAGGAAAAACTTACTTGGTATGTAACCTTTCTTGTAGGCATACCAGATACCAAATGCAAGTAAGGCCAACAGAAGAAGAAAGATGATGACTCCTGCGACAATCCCTCCAGTGTTTAAGTCACCTAGAAACACATGTTATTGAATTATGTTCTAGAATATATCAGTGATGTTTGTATTCTTCATGTTCTGTTCACAAGGGTCATGTCTCAAATAGAGTGTCAAGAAGCTGATTTAGAACTGCTACAATATGGTTTTCTGCTCAATAGCGAAATGGAAGAAACATTTTAAAAAAACATCATTATCAATTACACTTGACAAATTTTACAATACCAAACATTAAATCAATGTATTTTTCACAAAAGCGACAGTTTAGGAGAATAAATACGCTTCTATCTGTCATATTTAGTCATATATGGCACCCAAGACTCATTCTTCTTGTACGTTCATCCATTTCCTCTGCTTATCCATGGCTGTGTCGCCCAGCCCCCCTCTCCAAACACACTTCCACCTGGTCATATGGGGGAATCCTGAGGTGTTCACAGATTTCCTCTGGGTGCTCCGATTCCCCCTACCCCACCAATACAGTCGATCAACATCCAAGAATGGCTCCCAGGCAGATCCTGATCAGTTATCCTAGTGACGTTTGCAGGATGGGTCAAACACTATAGGGAATATTAAATCCCTCTCTGAAAAAGTTACAGTGAACTGACATCTAGCTAGCGAGATGATACAAAAATACTCAAACATACACAATTAACTCAAGAATGTAAATGTACATAGATACAAGCATTTAAAAGGCAAAATCTGCATTTTGACAAACATGCAACTTACGGACTTCCATCGTGGCGGCTTTACACTGCTGAGGAGGACCAGCCTCATTTTCAGCCACACAGTAGTAAGAAGCAGTATCCATTTTTGTTGTTGGACTAAACTCCTGAAAAAGATCAAGCATGTTCACATTTGTGCAGACTCAAGTTTCTGAATTGGATGGTAGGAAGACATACTAGATTGCCATTCTGTGGGTTTAGTTTATAGGTCGCATTTTTGAAGCCAGACACTGTTTTAGGGTCTGCAGGAAGGAGGACACCATTTTTGAACCATTTGTAAGTTGGAGGAGGAGAGCCGACATTGTCGTAACATGAGAGCAGAGCTGGTTTTCCCGTTGTCACCGATGAGGGCACTCGACACAGGGGCTCCCCTGGGGCCACTGAAAAACCAAACAATTTAAAAAAAAAATCATCCTATCCTTGAGGTAGTTGTGTGCTTGATCATTGTCTTTTGCAAATGGATACCTGACTTTCTTCAAAGGGGTCAATAAAGTATGCCTCTAATTTAATATATCATCTATCCATCCATCTGTGGTATGAGAACCACTGGCAAACGGCTCCAGATTAACATTTTTGGATGTTGCACTAAACTTTTAACTTTTCATTCATGCAGAATACACCAGACATTTAAAGTACTTCCATATTTTCACAAATAATCAATTTGTAAATAGATTTCATTTTACAGTAAGAATAAGCGACATATGGAGAACCTAACTTTGTGTGTGTTTCCTCAATACATGAGCTCGTCCCAATAGAAGGAATCCTTTTTGTATTGTTTGCATCATGTAATCTTTTACATACTGTTGGCTGAGACAGAGCCGTTTTTCAATGAATTCATGTAAAAACTGGTGAATAGAACCAACCTGTTTTATAGCCAAGAGCTAGATGAATTTGAGTACAGATTTGCATATTTTGTGGTTTCAGAGTAACAAAATTTTTTTTTTATTGATAAAATTTTATGTTCAGAGAGACAATTGGACAAAATGGGTATACTCTGGAGCTCTAGATTTCATGCAGGCTTGTAGATAAAATAGTGCTCAGACTTTAGGTCTGGTGGCACTTAAGCGGGGGTTGGGCTTTGTGTTAAAAGTTTGAAAAGCCAAACCAACAAATCTACTGACCCAGAACTGTGAGCTTCACACGGACCTCTCCAAACTGGCCTTTTCCAGAAACCTCACAATCGTACTCTCCATTATCTCTCACAGTCACTTTGGTGAATCTCAGATTGCTGTTGTACTGCGTCACCCTACTCGCATATTGTGCTGCAGAATAATTCAAATGATTACATTTTAACTGCATTAAAACATCAATGATACATTTGCAATGAAGAGAAACTTGTACCTGTGGGTTCGCCTTTAAAAATCACATAAGTCATTGAGCCTTTTAGATCTTTGAATTTCCACTCTACTCTTGCATCACTACCAAAGTCAGCAGAGTGCTGGCAGGAAAGGTCCACTCCTGATGAAATACGGCAAAACCAGTTTTACCAATTGTGTGAAAGCAATCGTTTGTGATAAACTGCAGCATCCACATCTTAAAAACGTACCCTCATTTTCTTTCACACGCACATTATTGTTTTCTGTAGTCACCGAAAAGCCCAAAACACCTAGGAAAAATATGACATATGCATGAAGTGAACATACCTTGAAAGTAAGAGAGGCCAAAAATATATTATTTCCCAATAAACATCTTAAAAAGAACATATTAAACATGACTGGACCAAATAATCAACCAGTAATGTAAAGTGAGGCATTTAGTCTTACTTTGTGTATTGAATTCATTTGCCAATGGCGTGTCAACCAAAATATCTATTATTCAATCATTTTTTCACATAAATTTGAAAGATATAGTGGGATAATGCAAAAAATAGGTAATAGAGAAAATTAGCAAGGTTATTGAGGATTTGGTATTTATTAGATTTTAAACAGCTACATTGTTTTGTCATGCAGTAGTTCTCTACTGCACTACTAAGTATAAATATATACTATATACGGCCTTTTTATCTACCAGGCACATAGTATAGGAATAAACTATATCATATTTATCTTTGACAAGTCATGGGCTTCAGTGGAAGTTGTGTGTTATTATCACAACACACAACACATTTCTTTTACAGGAAGTTTCCATTGGGTTGAATAAACCTTGTCATTTAAGTGTGTAATGAAACCAATACTCCATGCTGTCCTTGTTTGCATGTTGTGAGAGTTTCAGGCATGTGCTGATATCCACATTCTCCGTAAGAGGCATGCACTGAGTCACACACTGAAACCACATTTTATCTGAAACCTCAGTGACGGAAGTCACAGCCGCTGAAACCAACACATGAAAGCGTTCTCCCATACTTTTGGAATGAATTACTAGAAGGACTAATACGTATAATTTTACATCAGCAGATTAAACCTGTACTTGCATTGTTACAAGAGGCCATGCAAGGTGTACTTTTTTGAAACTACTTTGGTCATTAACTAAATTATGAAACTGGAAGTGTTGCCCTACATATAATTGATTTATATTTTTATTACAAAAAAACAATCTCCTGCAACTAGTCCAACAAGACATACAGGGGGAGGGAGGCAAGCCATTAAATGTGTACATTGTATTACTTGCTTTTGTTTAGGCTATGCTATGGATATGTATCTTACGAAACGCGTTGGATTGGTTTTATTTTGTGTCAAGATGTGTATATCTACACTTCAGATCAAGATAAATGTAACTCACCAGTTGCAGCGTAGCAGAAGAAAGAAGCCAACGAAACCAGTGGCCAGACGATCATGTCGACGGCTGTACGTGCTCTAGAAGGCAGATACTCAGATGTGTCCCTTTTGTTTTTAAATGAACTATAACTTTTGTTAGCGTCGAAAATTTGCCCCAAAAATGTGGTGTTTGGGGAAGACGAAAGCCTTTGTAGTAGCACAGCAGCAGAAGTCTTCACCTGAGCAGCGGAGTGACACCAGGGCGGTGACTTCCGGTAACAGGAGCTCAGGTGCGCAGTACTGTGCGCGTGGACTGGACCGACAGGTCCAACTGGGTCCGACTGGGTCCAACTCCGTCATGCTCCATGCTCCAGCAGGGAAGACCATCAAAGTATGACAAATGTGTTTGTACCGACAGTAAACAGACATGTTTTAACTCAGTTGTGTTGTTTTATTAACAGTACAGTACATTAGAAGCAGTGCAAGTAGCTAAATGATTGTGCTTTGGCTACATCCTATACAAATCGTATAAATCCCTTATAATAATAAGAAAGAAAAATCATTAGCATGACAGTTGTTACAGTCTGCGTCTATGGTTAAGACTGGTATGGCTCAGGCACAGTGACAGTAGAGGTGTTAGGGTCTTTTTTGCAGTAATACAGAAACATATGCAGCATCCTCTTTATTGCTATGCATGCAAATACATCTCTATTGTATTCTTTGTAGTTGCCTGGTGTCCCTGGCCAGGCTGAGTGTGGCATAAGACTGCCTCCTCTCATTATTTGGCACACTACAAGAGACGCAGGGGACACTTTAAATGGTGATGGAACCTAATGAATCACAGATACTTGTGCTGGACTGCACCATTTTTGTGCTGATAAATCGTTAACTGTAAAGCCGGTACATTTTTCAAAGAGAGTGTTTAACCTGAATCTCTTCTGTCTATAATGTAACAAGCATCATCCTACTGCAGATCCAGGATTAGAGGCATGCGTTTGAACAAATCTGTTGAAGTTGTCTCATACAACTCACTGGTAAATATCTACATTCAGTAGAAGTATAGTTGGCTATACATGTGCTTATTAATCAGTGCATATAACTGATTATACAGGTCTATGACATACCAAATATACAGTATTGTGCCATCACACAGTTACATTTTTTGTGCAAAAACACAACTCTGTAAGTGTCCAAAAGGCGTTGCTGAATGAATATGCTGCAGTGTTGACCTATGCAGAAGGTTGGCACCTTGTTTGCAGCCAGTTTATTCCCAGGAGCAAAGGTAAAGTCATCCAGGTCAACTGTAGACCACTGCAGCTCTGTAACAGGACACTCCAGGCAGAGCAGGGCAAAAGGAGTTCTGGAAAAATAGCATACATACGTTAGTACATATTAAATCAAAACACGAGTGTATCCAATCTGAAATGGTATTTACTTTTTTCTACCACTGATGTTTTGGATACCATGTTGGACTCTGGCGTCTTAATGTTGCATGTAAAGTTGGACTTTCCGTTGGGAAGACTTTTAAACAGAAATCTGCAGATGTTGCCTGGAAACAGACGCACTCTGGCGCGGGTCCTCCATGGTGCATGCTGCTCCTCATCAGGAAAAGTTGTGTCAAAAATCCGCTCACCCTGAGTGTACTTGCAGTATACTTCTGACGACTCAGCGGGAACGTTGTATTTGCAGTCCATCCTGAGGTTGTGCTCATCTATCGAGCAGTAGGTCAACTGTATCACCTTCTGGGACGAAGTAACTCCTGTGGGGTTGACACACAAATTATTGGCCACTGTTCAATTCTTAACAAGATAACAAGATATTATTATAATAAATTAGAATGAATGAGATACTGGCCTTACCAAAAAGCAAGACTGTCATCAGAAGGATCATTCTCAGGAAATTCTCCTTAAAATAGAAGGTAAAAGTAGGTTTGAATAATTTACACAACTATTACAAGCTGTCTTCCCATACTAATTTGATATCATTATGCATTAACAACAATCCCTGTCTTGTCTTCCCCCAAATATGATCTTTAATGCTGACTCCTGTGTTTTAGCTCTGCACTTTCGAGGAGTACAAGAATCCGGGACCTGTGTGTTGGCACCAAAAATCAGCACTTAATCAGATTCTAACTCAGATTTTCCTGCTTAGCTCCAGTAATGAGAGAAAACTCACCTTAGCAGATGCAGTTTGAGCACTCGTCGGTGTCTGCAGTGTGATGCCGGGGCTGGATACAGTAGAGGTCGGCTTATAGAAGAAAAGAGAGCAGAGAGAGGGAGGGGGACAGCAGCAGAAGGGGCGGTGCAGCGCCACTGGACTTTGGGGACATTTCTCTCTATTGTATAAGACATATGGATGATTTGTAACCTGTGTTTACTTGGAAGCAACAGTGGAAGGCCTGATTTTATACTATTATCACAGTAAAGTGAGTATATACTGTGAAAACATCATTAAAAAATGTGGTATGAAATATTACCAATGTCAGAGTTGTAACAAAGGGAAAATAAACAATTCAATTTAGAAATTAGTTACTTAACAAACAGACAGTACCTCTAAAATACATTTTGTGTTACTTAATAGAACACAAAACACAAAATATATTGTGTGTGATCCCTGTGTGCTCTTACTACTGTCCTATATGTGCGATGCAACATCGAAATTTCCCCACTGTGGGACGAATAAAGGAATTCTTATCTTAACTGCATATCACTATATTGAAGAAACCCCTTTATTATCTTTTCTCCAAAGCTAAACTATGCTGAAAGGCAATACCAAAAGGTTTTTTAAATAACTTGGTGTAGGCTAACAGAAATGTAAATGAACTGACCCAACAGTACATTGCATGTGTGTATGTTGTGAAATCTGATGCCCTTAAACTGTCAGTGCAGCTAATTTTACCTAGGGGTACAAATAAGGAAACCTTATACCTTACCTTAGAAGGAAAGCACTTTATTTAGATTAAATGTGTTATAATGACAGGATTCGGAGTGAAATTCAGTTTTAAAAAAAGTTTCATATATTTTCTACACAACACTTAAATTTGACTGCATGCTCCCTTCCTCCGCATTTGACTGTATTCTCTTATCCCCAGAGCTCATTTATTTTCTCAAGGTCTTGCCCAGACAGCTGCTGAACAAGAGGAGCAGTCTCAGGGGAGTGACACGCTGCAGGATGACACTACAGAAACTGCACTTTAATGCACAACATCACAAAAGGTTTTGTATGTGTTTATGACGGTAGGCATCATGCTCACTGAAAACTCTGCATCTTGCAGCTGCTCTGCTGGAAGCTGCTGCTGCTGCTGATCCACTGCAGAGGAGCCACAGCGACCCCACTCTGGCCCACCACCAATGTGTCTGTCTGTGAAGGTCATGTGTTCTACACTGACGTTCAAAGGCACACATGGTATTAGTGCAATCTGGCCACATATGTTTTCAGATGCACAAGCATAAGACATGAAGGAATACATGCAAAGGCAGGTAGTATATATTTGAGTAGAAGTAATAGTGAAAACTGCACGCAGCCACTCTCCAAATGCACTCGTTCCTGGATAAGTCCTTACTACATGTCACAACAAGTACACGTATTTCTTCATTTAGATTAGTAGGCTATGTGATGCCGTTCTTGTTTTATCCTCAAGAGGGAGCTAGTGTGCTCCATGTGAAAGAAAGTTCACGTTTCCTACATTCCATTACAAAAGCTGTATTTTAGACTTACCGGAGCGTTATTGCTAAGATTTTGAATTGGCCATATTTGGAGTACAATTAATTTACTATAAACAGGACAATATGTGTCCCAACATTCAAGCTGAATGGGCTTAACAACCCCTACAATATCAACTTCAAACGAGACATTGTTATATTTTCCTTGGGGAATAAAGAAAATATGAAGAATAATTAAAATGTGAGAAGAAGAATGTTGATGTTCGTTGGAGCGCGCATTTTGGAGCATCGCAGTGCAGTCCCAGTGCGCTGTGTCCAGACTCCAGGCGGGCTGGTTCTGTCTGCGCACTGACTGGAGAGGACTAGGATTGTTTGAGGTAAGACAAGAAATGTACTCTAGTCTCCGAAATTGAACTTCAATGTCGACAAGACGGATCCCACCTTTATCGTCTGCAATAACGCGCACACGCGTGGGCTTCAGTTACCGCAGTGCAAGTCACTGCAGGGGCGTAGTCATCCGCAGGCTGCAGCCAAACTGGACTCACATCCAGGCCCGGTCCCACTGCGCTGCGCGTGTCCTGATGTAATCTATTCTAGCACGTATTGTAGCTTCATGCTTTGTCCTCTCTTGTGTGTGTGTTGGCTGCTCGTAGCGGTGGCGGTATAACTTGCTGTCCCGTGGTGAACGCGTCATAGGTGGAAGCAGCCACATCTGACAGGACGATGCTCGGTGTCATGGATCTACACCTGCTCTCTACAGCCTGTCTCCTTTTTGGGGGCGTCCAGATCACACAGCAGACTCAAACCCACAGTATGTACCACTCAGTTTAATATACTGCTGGATACAGTATTATGATGCGGCATATTGACTGATCTTGGGTGAAGGCCTCAAGATGATTATTCCTGAATAATGCTGATATAATGTATGTTGATACTTAACTGATGATGACTGTGTTTTGTCTGTTCTGTGTTGGCAGTGAGCGCTGTGTCCACTTTCCTGTTTTCTCCTCGTGGGCCTCAGATGTTCCCCTGTCTGACATACTTGGAGCGCAATGTGAGGGTGGACTGTGAGTTTCCTCCCTCCTATCAGATCCCTGGCCCGTATTGTGAGTACAGACAGGACAGTCGGATGGTGGGCACCACTGTCCCAAATCAGGTCATATATGTGAATGTGGAGGACCGCAGAAGGAGCAACGTTAGCCTGGTCTACCCAAACCTGTGCCGCCTCATCTGGGCGCCTCTGGCAGATGAGACTCCAAAGACCTACACATGCAGAGTGTACCAGGGCAGCAGCTGGAAAGAGAACAGCATGGCTGTGCATCACAGTGAGTCCATACATCACCCAAAAGAACTATCATCACCAAACTCTAATATGACATTCTTTATTTACAGGAATCCTTCCAATCTGCTCTGCACTAAATATTCAGTCATCTTTATGGTTAATAATGATTGCTTTGTCTCTCCCTTTGCTTATACGCCATTTGATTCCGTTATCATAACATTTTTCAATGAGGAGAGTTAATAAAATATACACTTATGATTTTGTGTCAGTAACTGAAGCCTCACCCTTTGCCCAAAAATCAAGATTAAATATCAGAACAAGGATTGTTCTGCTTAAGTCTCCATTTTAAAAAATGTAAGCATATATGTATATTTTTTGAAAATACTCACATAGAGCGGATCCCTCCAGGCTTGATGCTCTCACATGTAGCCTATCACTGTAAATACTGTGAAATTCAAGTGGGTGCTAAAGCTGTACAACAGACAATATGTAACGCCTTTGGAACACAAGTTGGACTTTATATTTAATTCTCCCTTACATTGTCCCTTATCATCTGTATACTTCTTAGCAGGTTTCCCTTACATTATATAAAGAATTACAGGGATGAACAAGAATCATATTTGTTGCACTTTGTAGGTTCTAGAACAGCCATTGTAACTTGCCAGGCGTGCAGTGTTATTGATAAGATAAAGTAATGTATTCCAGCGAGAATTTGCTCAAGTATTGTTTGGAAATGCAGCTGATTACAATTTTATGAATAATATAAATGCTTCAAATCCCTAAAACGTTTTATGTTTATTTATTGCAACTTTATTCATCCACAAATTCTTCTAATAGGACTATATTGTACATGTTTTTTTGCTCGACAGTGGCAGTGCATAGAGGAAACCCACACAGACACAATGAGAATATTCAAACTCTTCTTGTCTTATGTATTGTCATCCATTATGTCATTGTTGCTGTTCTTAGCTCTTTTACACTTTCTACCCTATAGTTTGCACTGCAACCTTCAATAAAGTCTATATTTGAACTGACTTGTGTGAGTCATTCTCAGACAAAAATAAAATGAGTGTCGTAAATGATTATAGACTTTGGCCACATAGTCATTTGTCCAGCAGATGGAACTCTTTCACCAACATAACCTCAGTAAGGACCTGGCCCACAGACATTTTAACAGCAGCTTGTCTGTATGAAAGGCAAGTGTTTAATATAAGAATTCTAATCTTTCATTCTTCCTGGATTGATTGGGGACAGTAAATTGTTACTTTAAGACACTCAAACCACTACACATCAAGGAACCAATCACCAATTAACTCACACATTCATACAACAGTGTACGCAGACATTGGCAGAGAGGCGGGATAAGTGTCTTGCCAAAGGACACACAGCACCAATCACCAAGAGAGCTGATTTCACACCTGCTCAGAGGACACTCACTCTACCAACTGAGCTACTGTCGTTTGAATCAGGTTTTCAGTGTGGAGATGTTTCAGCTTCCATCCAGAGAAGATGTTCTGAGAAATGGGATATAAAGTGTTCTTAATGGTAGTTTTTATTATTCTGAAAAAAAATGTCTTATTGAAGGGAATCAAACCCTGTCTAAGCTGAAAACTTGGTCTACATAAGGGGTTCCCAAACTTTTCAGGCTGGGACCCCTGAATCCACTGATGTATACAAATATCGTAAGTAACAAAACATGCTAAATTAATTTTCCTGTTTGATCTAATACCACTAGGGTATCAAAAAGATTAAAAAAATAAACATAAAAATAGTTCTGGAAATCATCTCATGACCCTCAGCTAATATCCCACCACCCACTTTGGGAGCCTCTGGTCAAGATGACTATTGTTGAAACAGGTTCTGAATATAAGCTTTTTTTTATTTTTTTATCTCACTACTTACCTTACCTTTGTCATGCACTAAACATAGAAATATGCAATAAGATATCATATGTATTTAATGGTATGGCAATTTTATACATAGTGATTCGTTACAGTGTACACTATAAAATCCAGAATGACCTAAGAAATTCAGAAGAAAACCATTGAGGTATTTGTTTAAATATTTATAGCCAGACACTCAACAAACTGTAAACAATTCATTATGGCCAAAGCACACAATTCAATACTTAAAATGCTTAACAAAACCTTCATTATATAAAAGAGGATAATTGACAGAATATTTACTATTCACATAACAGTACACGCACCTATCTTACAATAAAGTGAAAAGACTTTGATTTGTAATACAGTATAATGACTCAATGCAGGCACAATGGAAACGCAAACATGTCACAATCCCATTTGTTTTAAAATAAACAAAAAAATGTCATTAACTTGAACGCGTCATATCACCTTTCTATTCATATGAAAGGAGCGAGTAGGATTGGAATTTCTCTTTACAATAGGAATGAAATCAATTAAATATTGTTGGAAATGGCCTCTGTATGCATTCTCCTTAGATCTCATAAGCCCAGAGTAAGCCCTATCCGGACGACACCCAGCTATGTGAGGTGTTTTTCCCTCTGGGTGGAAAGCCCTGTGCCCCTGCTGGTTCAAAGTTAAAGTCCAGCGCTCCCCCATCCATCAGTGTCTCATGTAGGACTGACTCCAGATCACACTCAAACCTCTCGATGGACATGTTATCAAGATCACTGGGCAGCCTCTCCTGCTGATGCCCACGAGGGTGCACTCGAGTTAGCTCAGTGTAGCCATTATTAGTGCTACTAGAAGCCATGAAATGATGACTGTGTGTTGTGTGGGACAGTTGCAGAGGAGCCTCTTGACGGCTGGTTAAATATGTGAGCGGAATCATGTTACAGGTGTTCAATTCTCGTGAGGGCACAGGGCTCTGGTAAGACTGTGGAATAGCCATTTTCACCAGAGCGCGTGGATTTGGAGGATTTTGGCTATTGTAAGAGGGCAACAAGCAACCAGTCCTCAAAGAGCCTTGTGCGGCTTCACCATCTGATTCCAGAATGGCTTTCGCTGGGAAGTTATTATAAGTGTTCTGGTAAACCCCAAAGCTGCCCTTGTTTGCCTGCATGCAAACAGGGAGCAGTGGGCTCATCTTCACCTGGGTGTACATGCTCTTATGGAGGGAGGAAGTGAATGGGCTATTCTGATGCATGGGGCCATTTGAAGTATGCACTGTGTCGGATACCATTTGGGAATTTTGGGGTGTCAAGAGGTTAAGGTTGTCCAGGAGATTCTCCATGACTTTTTCTGATCCTCTTTGAGCAACGGACCCCGACATCTTAGACGGTTTTGGCAGTGTGGCGGTCAACTTGGGCCCCACAGAGTAAGCCATGTGCATGTCAGGATCGCCCACCTCATCCTGTTCGGAGGGCAAAGGGGACCTGCGGCTGCTGAGGGTGCTGGCGTCAGAGCTGGTTCTGGACCTAAAGGTGCTCCAGGAGTCCAGGTCTTCAGTGCTTTGAGAGTGAGGGCTTCCGAGCCAGTGTGAGTACTGAGTAGAAGGACTATGGGAAGTGCTGTTAACCAAGTCAGTTCCTGTCATCTGAAAGACACAAAAACTCAATATTACCGAAATGGGAAAAATGTTTTCGTTAAAGTATGAAACTGTTTAAGTTAAATGTCCTAATTGCATTTTTGCTATAGAGAATTCAATCATAAAAAGTCTTTTAAGTCTCTAGATTTTTCAAAAATTTAACAATCAAACTAATTAATTCCTCTTGGTTTTATCACTAGATTTGACATGTACATATTTATTTTGGCTGGTGTCACAGCCACATGTTGTGGTCTATTTGTTCATATGCTACTTTTACTCTTTTTGAAATAAAATGTATAATATATTGTACTTGTATTTTTAATAAAGGGAGGAACCCCAGCTTAAGTGCGACTGCGTTCTAATTATTAATAATGAAAATAACAATAATAATAATAATAATAATTATGATATTATTATCAATAATACTAATAATAACACATCCGTTTTATATAGTGTACTTTACATGGCCTTATTCATTCACTCCACCAACAATGTCTTACATATAATATATAGAAAACCAAACAAGGAAAAGGAAAGCTATAACTAAATGTAACAAGACCTTCTTCTTGGTAGCACGGCCTCGGCTCTTCGTGAACTTGCTGTTGTTGTCCATGGAGGCAGCTCTGCGTCGCTGTGACTTCCCGCTCTTTCCTCCCTCAGGATTAAGCATCCACCAGGAGCTCTTTCCTGTGCCCTCGTTCTGGATACGCACAAAGCGACTGTGCAGTGACAGATTGTGTCTGATAGAGTTCTGCAACACAACATAAATAGTTATTAATTGACAATAATATCATGAATCTTTCACTTTTGGGAGTTTGACGTTTACCTCCAGGCAAAGTGATAGAACACTAAATACATTATGGGCAACAGTATTTCAGGGTGAGTGTGTGTCCTTTGAGCTGATGGGTGGTGCTTCCCACTCCACATAAAAATCAACGGTCAGGTGTGAAACCAGCTCTCATCGGTAAACACTGCTGTTATCCTTGTGTCCTTGGGCACAAGGACACAATGTGTGTGTGTGTGTGTGTGTGTGTGTGTGTGTGTGAATGATGAACGTTTCCTTGATGAACTGTAGAAAACTGCAATACAAATGTGACCACTTACAATTGAAAACTCAAACCTTTGTGACTAGTAGAAATTTTTAGTTATAATTGAGGACTCGTGATATATGAATGATTAGTGTTCTCAGATGGACAGGATGCCTGAACACATCAATGATATACTCCCATAATATTTTGTCTGTTCCACTACCCCTGTTTCCTCACTATTGACACAGGCTGGGCTGATCTGATACACCAGATCTGAGGTGTTGCTAGGTCTAAATAAAAGAGCCTCTGAGCCACCTAGAAAAGTAGAAAAAGGGTAAATGGCTTCTGTAATGTCACCAACAACCATGCTGATGCAAATGTTTTTAGAACATAATCTGTTACAAGGTCCAATCAGTGTACAGTGTTCTGAATATTTGGACTACGTTCTCGTTCATTATCGAAATATTATACAGCAACAACCAACTGAACCTGCTAGAAGTAAAGTGTTGTTTAATTATAACACATTTTGAGGTGCTTTAGTCACTATTGGGTACCAACTAAAGACCATATACTTATCACGGTGTTATTGATATATCAAGCCTTTGAATGTAATATTTCATACACCAGCTCACTTGTCATAAACCTAGGTGAGAAGCCTGTGTTTAAAACAAATAGTACATGTCTACTATTCCATCTGTATTATGTTCATTTTGTTCACATTTTTGTTCATTATGTTCACAAGAAAAACACAGATTGACTGAGAGGCGAAGAAAGACACTTTTACAACACATACATAGCCCATGGTCATAATCAGACATGTGCATGCTGGGTACAATCACACCACAAGATACAGTATACTGGTGTGGAAATCCCCTTTAAGAGCCTGCAGTTAGTGAAGCCAGATGTCCCTAACCACACAACTCATTCAGGAATAGGGACACCTTTCTTCATCATCATCATCGTCACACATTATGGACATTATGAATAGTTATGTGTGTTTTAAAGGTGATTCTTGTCTGTATGGAGATGATAGTTCTTTGGTAACGATCATAGTTCTTGTTTCTCACAGAGCTGTTTCCATGCCCCACTGAATATGCTGATTCGGAAGATAAAATCAAAAACTAAATTTGTTTCAACAAAAACTCATTTTTAGTGTGTAGTTTAAGTAAGTGTATTATGTGTTGAGGAAACTATGAAGAAGAAAAGATTATTGATGAATCAAAGGAAAATAGTAGATAGATTACTTGATGACTTATAGAAGAGAATAAACATATTTGTCTTGTCATCACAGAAAACCAATAATAGTCAATACGATTTGATAGCTGCAGCCCATTTGTAGCATTATCAATTTGAGTAATTTGGCCTAATATCACGTAAATCACTCCTTCAATTCTCTTGACACAATGTGTTTTAACCAGGAACCACCATTGAATGTATTATGTGTGTTCTAGATTTTCACTGCTACTGCTTCTGCTCTTGTTGTATTGTGCAGACAGAAGCTTGATCCTCTGAGAGCCTGTGCTGGTGTGTATGAGAACATGGGGGAGGTTGCAGGGTTCACCTCATGCATATGGAGGGCCACGGTACGAGCTGTTTTACAGCTTCCAATCAGGGTCAATGAGTTCACTACAGAGAATTCTCACTTTGTGCTTACCAACATGTAATAGGATGCAATGCATGACAAAACAGTAAAAGTGCTTACCAATATATCAGGAAATTAAACAAATAAAAATATATTCTGCATAATTAAGCATTTGAGAAGCAACAAGTAATGGACAATTATCAACACTCGCCTATGGACCACCTATGTGTTAATACCTCTATTTTTTTGTCTTTGAACAGTTTGATTCTCTGATCTGTGTTGGAGATTTCAACGGTTTTGTAAGTCCTCTGAGATAACTGTTGTGATTTAGGGATATACAAGAATACACTGAATCGAATGGAGTGATTTTTACATTAGTTTAATACAAAAAAGTGTATTCTTTTTGCTTATTGAAATTGATAAGACTTTCATCTTTGTCATTTCATGTGAATATTTGTTTTTTTAAGCGTGTGTTTTAAATAGAAAATGTTAATACACCTGGTCATGTTTTGTTATTTACAACCATTAACATGACATTTTTATTTATACATTTTTACTCAAAGTTCACACACAAGTAACTGTCAACTCTGAAGTGAAGGAAAGATGATTTTCTTTGATTTTTATTAAATAGAAAAGTAAAAAGCAGGGAATGCACAAGCATTGTCTTTATAACATTCCTAATGACAGCTGAATGTTCACACCTTGTCTGAATGATCAAATAAATAATTACAGCTGTTCTGTGAGGACCTCAGGGCGGGGATGGAGTGTATTGGTCACTAAACAGCATCATGAAGGAAAAGGAAAGAGTGCAAGTGCAAATCTAGCAAGACTCAACTGATCACAGATGCAGACACGAAGCCAATGGTTACACTGCTTAAGGAAGGAACCATGCCTCTTGGCAGAGGTCTCAGCTCTAAAAGTGCTTTTTTATTTATTTTGTGTTTCTTATAATTTGAGGGTCCTATAGTGAGAGTAATATAAATATCTCTTCATTTGTATCAGAGATTAATGGGACATTTTGCATTTTTTTTGCAAAATAGACTTAAGAGTAGACTCTTAACTTGAGGTCCAACATTGCAAAATATAATGAGATCTGAAAAATGCAAATGTATTTGATTATAAACCCCAATAGATCAGCAGCCCGGAAAGGGCCAGGGATTATCCATGTCTGAGACAGACCACACCTCAGCCTAAAGGGGACAAAAGACCCGAGCCTGTAATGCAGGAGGTGCCCCCTGCACACATCACTACTTCAGACACAGCATGGCTTTAATAAAGTGTCTCAATAAGATCAACTTGCCATAAACATTGTGATGGTTGTGAGCTGTGACACTTCCAAAAGCAACCAGTGAAAAGTTATTAAAGTTTATAGTAATAGGTAATAAGAGTAATTTGTGGGAAACATATCAGTACAAATGAAATTAACTAATTGCTTAACTTCACATTTCTGATTTCAAAGTGCAGAAAAACTCCTCTCAGACTCCAAAACAATCAGACTGAATACAGCTGCTGGGTCTTGGTTAGTGAAGCATGAAGCTGGCTGTAACGGCCACAGACCGAGCAAGTAAACAAACAAGGACCAGGGGACAGGTGCAGTAACAGAGAGTGGTCCATAACAAACTCTACATGGTCCAATGGTATGAGACACAAACATCAACTGTACTGTCCCTCCTGAGAGACAAATTGTAAAACCACCTGTCATTCGAACGGGCAATGACTTACAAAAATACATTCAACTGCTTCCAGAGTCAACGTTACCTCGAAAAGTGATGCCAAGTAGAACAATAGGTCATCAGTCAAAAAGCCCATACTATAAAATAAGGAAGTATGCTTATCTCTTGCACTGTAAGAGACCTCTTCAGGGTCGGCTCTGTGTCATGCTTTTAACTGGTGGTAGTTGCTGGCAGTGAACAACTTTATCACGGCCTACAGCAGCTACATACAGTATATGTATACAAATTGTCAGGGTTGTAAGTCGTTGGACATAGGACAGAGAATTTTGGTGAACTGAAAATCTGTAGGCTTTACAGAGGTGATACAGAGCTTTTGATAACGTAGGAAAGTGCAGATGCTTTGTCATAATGTTGCATTCTACACTCATGCTGAGAATACAAGCCACTTCCTGCGTGCAGTTTTTCCCCTTGTCATCAGGTTCAGGGCAAAAGGATCTGAGACATTTGTTTAAAAGTATTTTATTAGAGAGTAAAACTAAGAAGAACATCCAAGTAGAGTTACAGTTTTGTGTGCAAACTGTTCATACACGATAGATGTCAAGCTTTAGTTTGTGGCACATTACATAGACAAATATTCCTTCCATGGAGTCTCATCTGATTGGCTCTCAAGTGAGCCTTCATGAAGCAGATCACAGATAGTTATCATATTATATCATGGTCCATACCACTCATACTTTGTGAAACAAATAAATGCATTCTTTGACTTGTCTTCAACGTCAACTCATATTCCCACTGTTAATGTAATCCATGATCTGATCATTAACTACATAATTTTTGCCATGATTGGCCCATTTATGATCCACGTCCAATTGATAGAGTAACTCTCATCTAACCATTACTGACCTAACTATTAAACCAGCATAATCTCTGTAATCGATGTAAGAATAAAAAACAAGGTAGGCAGCAAATAGATTATTAAGAGCAAAAGCATTCATTCAGACGTCCTCAATGTTTCACATCACCTAGCTCTTTTCATAATGGGTTTGAGGTCTGCATAATTATATCTTAGTGAACATTGGTAGGGGGTTATTACCACTGAGTCTAGAGAACAATGCATTGGGCCACATGCCACAAATTCCAGCAGCTCACACATGTGCATCTGCAGACTGTATACAGCCTGTCCCGCCGGTCAGCTGACTGCGCCCCTGCTCCTTGGGACATGCTTGCTCCCTTCAGAAAGCCCCTGCCCCAAGCTGGCCTTACTTCATGGGGTTACTTCAAGCTTCGTGGGCCTCTTAAGTTCAAACCCTCCTTTTTAACCTTGTGATCCCCAGACAATTGTTTGGCAGTTATCCGTCTCTTTCTTCTCATCACTTCTACTCATAGATCCATGCTTCCACTATGCAGTAGTGTAGAAGTATACACAAACATTGTCTTGGCTATTTCAACATTGGGGTCCCATTTTCCTGTTGCTATTTTTTGGAGTTCAACACTAAAGGAAAATATGTTCTGTGGGGAAAGTAATGCTCCCATTGGGATGGATTGTGTAAGCTAACACTACAAAGATACTATACTTTAAACAACATCCTAAGATAACTTTTCTCATGCCAGTGAGTGACAGACACAGGAAGTGTGTCTTGATCCCGCCCGTCGCCCACTGCCAGTTTCAAAGGTGGGGCTTTCTAATCACAGATTCAAAGCCATTTACCTCCTCTGAATGTGCTCTTAAGTTGCTTAAGGATATGGCAAATATAATTCACGAAACATAAACACTATTGAGCAATATATACTCAATCACTGCAGGTACAGAACTATATCAGGGACATAACATTCTACTAGCCATGTTCATTTTCCAAGGCCGACCCTAGTGTGTAGAAGGTGGAGCATGTAAACTCACAGCACTGTTTTCCATGCAGGAAATGCATCATAGTTCATTGTGGAGAGACTGTGATGTTTTTTTTTGTTTTTGTTTTACCAGGAACAAGATAAAGGGTAACCAAAACCTATAATAGGGTTTAGTAACAATCATGAGACATTAGCAGATAGAACATTTAACATAAGATGTGTTACAAATCACATCTCTTGGTACAGTCACTCTATAATGAGAATAACCATATACAATCAATCATTTTACTTGAAACCATGTCAAACCTGTGTAAAGGGAATGTGTCTTGGGATAAGTCAGAAGGATCAAAGAGGAAGTGATGGGATTCCTGTGACTGTGGCATCCGCAGAGGAAACTGAAGACATGGACAAAGATATGAGCACACAGGTCTGGAATGGAGGATGTTTGACACTCACTGACACTGGGGTTATAGTGGTGGTTGATTTGAAGTTTACTCTGCAGGTTATCATTTCGGCCAGTCGTTCTCAATGTCTGGATCCATCCTTACAGATTATAAGATGTCTTGTATAATCACTAAATCATGTAATTATGTTTTGAATACATGAAGTCCTTCTAACCACATATTTACACGAACATTAAAACAATATTGGAAACTGCCCGGAGCACCCGGACAGTGCCGGACTCACAATGGGAAACAGTGAATATCCAGTGTCAGCAATAACTTCATAACACTAACCAGGATTGTGCCAGCGAACAGAAAAACAGAACTAATAACTGCATTGATAATTAAGCTTTTTAAGTAAGCTTAAAAAGCTTACTTAAAAAGCTTAAGTAAGTAAGCTTTTTGTTGTTTATGCTCTCACCTTCCATCCTGCTGAGCTGTTGCTGTCCCCTTTGTCGTTGAAGTAGGGCACACTTTTGACCATCCAATCGTAAATTTGTGACAGCGTCAGCCTCTTCTCGGGTGAGGTCTCTATGGCCTTAGTGATGAGGTCAGCGTAAGACATATTCCCCCAGGCATTACGGCGGGACGAGCTGCTTTTCCTCTGGCTTATGCCGCTGGAGGCACCTAAAGGTGCGGGGACAAGCACCTGTTGCGGCGGCTGCACATGCGGAGTACAGCCGCTTAAGCGCCTCTGCTGCAGCTGGATGCGGATGCCCTGGTACTCAGAGCTCAGTGCGGGGGATGTCTGCTCAGTGTACTCGTCATAGTCCTCCTCTAACAGTGCGAGGTTGCTTATGTAGTCTCCAGAGTCCGCGGGCTCCTGCAGTGGTGGCCCGGGGGAGGATGTGCTGGAACTCCCCGGCTCCAGCAGCTCGGGTCTGGGCAATGGCCAGGTACAAGACCGCGGGCGGGAAAGAGGCTCGAAGTCTGCGTCTATCTCCACAGACTGAGAGGGTCCTGGTGGTCCTTCAGCCATATCAACACATACTAGACAAAACTATTATTTTAGTCACTCGTGAGTCTCCCCCGACAGCTCTAAAGTGAAATAATGAGCAGTCATGCAACACCGCCTCTGAACTTAAAGTTCACACACCATCCTTCTACTCTTCAGAGACCGCTGCTGCTGCCTTCACGGCCTGATTGGAGAGTACGACTTCTGAGTATCTTCTTGGAGAGTACGAAATTATTGTCTTTACGGAAATGTGGATTAATGTACATCGCAATACCTGCCAAAAAAACGAAAACAATAAATTTGAGTAAATGTGTTTTTTCTCCCTTCAAAGCTAGGAAATCTAGGCCTCTCATCAGATAGTTATTAAAGATAAACAATATAACATATGTATAGCCTACGGGTTCTCCAACTGTTCCATTATGATTAAAATAGTTAAATACATGGACATATTTCTAAACTAAAATGAGATTATATCATAAACTGTAAGATTATACATACCTTTTAACTTTGATTAACTTCATGTTTTCTATTACTTATAGACACATTTAAAGACATTTTAAGTTGTCCCCTGCAACATCAATATCTTAATTTCAGCCGAAAACACCTCTTGTAGTATTTGTAAAGTTTATTAAGCTCGAAACCGGTCTCATGGGTCTTCACCGTGAATGTCAAACCCCAGCAACTAATTCGGGCAGGGCCACATTATGCTGCGTTCAGACCAAACGCATCCAAAGCGTCGGGTTTATATTGAAAATACATGATGGGGGACGCGCTTCTAGGAGCGTCAAGAGACCCTGCGGCGCGTCACGCGCCTCCAGAGCAGCGCGTCTTCGAGCGTTTCGCGCTTCTGGCGCGGCGCGTTTTGAGACCGAGCGAGTGTACACAAGATAGTGATGTGATGGGAGACCACTGGGAACACAGTTCGGTAAAGTCAGCTTGATATTCACAGATTCGGACTTCCGCCATGAATATCTCACGAAAGCAACGTTGTTAAACGAAAGTAATGGTGCCAAAATGATCACCTCTACTTAGGCTAACTACTACAACATCGATTTTTCAAATCCAATGCGCTGTTTTAATGCGGAGAAATCCATTCAATCCAAGTGCCGAGAAAAGCGCATAGGGAGCGTCAACAAGTATCAATACCAGCTTTGTAAACGAACAATAGCTGTTACTTGAAGCCATGTACACGCACAGAACTCTAGGACACAATAAATAACTAACACTTCTAACTTGTACAACCTTTGTTTTCAGCATTTGCCTCTTTTTTTATATTTTTTATGATGAAATATGACTACAAATCTTGAATAACTTTTTTTCTAAAAGGGGCGTGGTCACCAAATTCTCAGGTATGATCAATAACTACAATATCTAACTACTACAACTTTTGTTTTCAGCAGAAATATCTTTTTTATATTTTTTATGATTAAATATGATGAAATATGACTACAAATCTTGAATAACTTTTTTTCAAAAAGGGGCGTGGTCACCAAATTCTCAGGTATAACCAATAACTGCCATATCTAACTACTACAACTTTTGTTTTCAGAAGAAATATCTTTTTTATATTTTTTATGATTAAATATGAATATGATTTTTGAATAACTTTTTTTCAAAAAGGGGCGTGGTCACCAAATTCTCAGGTATCATCAATAACTGCCATATCTAACTACTACAACTTTTGTTTTCAGCAGAAATATCTTTTTTATATTTTTGTGATTAAATATGATGAAATATGACTACAAATCTTGAATAACTTTTTTTCAAAAAGGGGCGTGGTCACCAAATTCTCAGGTATGATCAATAACTGCCATATCTAACTACTACAACTTTTGTTTTCAGCAGAAATATCTTTTTTATATTTTTTATGATTAAATATGAATATGATTTTTGAATAACTTTTTTTCAAAAAGGGGCGTGGTCACCAAATTCTCAGGTATCATCAATAACTGCCATATCTAACTACTACAACTTTTGTTTTCAGAAGAAATATCTTTTTTATATTTTTTATGATTAAATATGACTACAAATCTTGAATAACTTTTTTTCAAAAAGGGGCGTGGTCACCAAATTCTCAGGTATAACCAATAATTAAAATATCTCATGGGTTTGTCAGTGGTGTTGAAAGCTGATTCCACAAAGCTGGATGTGGTCCAGTTCCACTGCTACGGAGATAAAATAATGTTCTATTGTAACAGGAATTACATTTCATTATTTTATGAGTAATATGCAAATACACATAGTATATACAATTATCAAATATCACATACCATTGTGCAATGGACACAACACTGCTCTCTTATCACATTCTGAAGAATTTGGTGACCACGCCCCCTTTTTTAGAACAAAAGCTATTGAAGATTGATAATTAATCATAAAAATGTAACAAAGAGATAAATGCTGCAAACAAAGGTTGCAGTACTTAGATATGTTAATTATTGATTATAACTGAGATTTTGGTGACCACGCCCCTTTTAGAACAAAATTTATTGAAGATTGTGACACTTGTCATGTCAGGATGGCACTTATGAAGATGTTGGAGGAACAAAGTGCACACCCAGGGTGCAGGTTTATTTACATTGGACAGCATGTCATGCAACACTCTCTCTGTTCAGAGTTGGTGGCCTGCTTTTATAGCATATGACAGTAATTAAGCAATACTAACTGCAGCCCTACAGCAATAATTAAAGTAGTGCTTTTACACTCTTTTTTTATTATTATTTAAATTTACAAATGATTTATTTATTCTAAAACTATACTAAACTGGAAAGATAAAACCCAGGAAACCCCTCCACCCTCTCTGCAGAGTGGATGAACCCGGAATCCTCTTTAGGTGCTCCGGCTCCTCAGGACTTATTTGGCCGGAACGCCTAAAGAGGGCAGACAAGGGAGTAAAAGATAAGTATATTTAAATGTTGTACATTTATTCATTTTCCTTAACTCACACTCTTTTCCTTTACAGGTCCGCACCTTCACATACAAATCAATCTTTAATAAATGTTTTAAAACATTAGAGTCTGTCTAATTCATACTCCTGTTAACCCTCGTAAAGGACTCTTCTCCATTTATAAAAAGCCATTGAAGATTCAATCATAAAAAATATGAAAAAAGGTATTTCTGCTAAAAACAAAGGTTGTAGTAGTTAGATATTGTAGTTATTGATCATACCTGAGAATTTGGTGACCACGCCCCTTTTAGAAAAAAAGTTATTCAAGATTTGTAGTCATATTTCATCACAAAGAATATAAAGAGAAAAATACAAAAAACAAAGGTTGTAGTAGTTAGATATGGCAGTTATTGATGATACCTGAGAATTTGGTGACCACGCCCCTTTTTGAAAAAAAGTTATTCAAAAATAATATTCATATTTAATCATAAAAAATATAAAAAAGATATTTCTTCTGAAAACAAAAGTTGTAGTAGTTAGATATGGCAGTTATTGATGATACCTGAGAATTTGGTGACCACGCCCCTTTTTGAAAAAAAGTTATTCAAAAATCATATTCATATTTAATCATAAAAAATATAAAAAAGATATTTCTGCTGAAAACAAAAGTTGTAGTAGTTAGATATGGCAGTTATTGATGATACCTGAGAATTTGGTGACCACGCCCCTTTTTGAAAAAAAGTTATTCAAGATTTGTAGTCATATTTCATCATATTTAATCATAAAAATATAAAAAAGATATTTCTGCTGAAAACAAAAGTTGTAGTAGTTAGATATGGCAGTTATTGATGATACCTGAGAATTTGGTGACCACGCCCCTTTTTGAAAAAAAGTTATTCAAGATTTGTAGTCATATTTCATCATATTTAATCATAAAAATATAAAAAAGATATTTCTGCTGAAAACAAAAGTTGTAGTAGTTAGATATGGCAGTTATTGATGATACCTGAGAATTTGGTGACCACGCCCCTTTTTGAAAAAAAGTTATTCAAAAATCATATTCATATTTAATCATAAAAAATATAAAAAAGATATTTCTGCTGAAAACAAAGTTGTAGTAGTTAGATATGGCAGTTATTGATCATACCTGAGAATTTGGTGACCACGCCCCTCTTTGAAAAAAAGTTATTCAAAATTCATATTCATATTAAATCCTATTTATTCATAAAAAATACAAAAAAGAAACAAATGCTGAAAACAAAGGTTGTAGTAGTTAGATATGGTAGCTATTTATAGTATTTGAGAGTTTAGTGCGTGTACTTGGCTTAAAATAAAAACTATTGTTCGTTTACACAGCTGGTATTGGCATTTGTTGACGCTCCCTAAGTGCTTTTCTCGGCACTTGCGGCGCATTGGATTCAATGGATTTCTCTGCATTAAAACAGCGCATTGGATTAGAAAAATCGATGTTGTAGTAGTTAGCCCATGTAGAGGTGATCATTTTGGCACAATTACTTTCGTTTAACAACGTAGCTTTCGTAAGATATTCACCGCGGAAGTCCGAATCTGTGAATATCAAGCTAACTTTACCGAACTTGGGAACACCAAGTGCCTCAGTGCGACGGCTGTAAAATGTCAAATCAAGTAAAAGGCCTCACCCAGATTTTAAATCTGAGGTGTGCATGAATGTGTGGTGGTCGGATGGGCAAGCAATACCGAGAGCTTCTGGAGTGAACGAGTGATAACTTTAAGAGTCTTCCAAAAAACGATATAAATACCCAGTTCTTGCAAAAATCCAGCAGATTTACATTGATTTAAAGTGGTCGGAGGTTCAAAGTGTTTCACTGATTCATTCTTGCAAATGACGTTAAGCGTATGGGGTGACAACGATCGCGTTTCTTTGCCAATGAACGACTTGCTCAGTAACATTCATATGTGCAACTTTCTGTCTCAATTTTAACTTATTTTTAATGAATACATGGTTGAGTAATGCATATATTTATATTACTGGTATCATACCTTTGTCATAATGGTTTTAGAAAATCCTTCTGGTTGAAATGGACATTTACACTTTACTAAAAAGTTCATGAGCCTCCAGGGATTTGTAATTTCTGAGCATGCACTGACTCCATTCACAAGATGACAAACAATGTCGATATTTTTTGTTAGTGGAAATGCTGGGTCAGTTGACCATGCTTTGGCAGCTAACTCATATGGATCTTGCTACATCGCCAATAGAGGAAAGCTTATCTTGATAGCACGCATGGCAGGTGACTGCAAAAGAGCCATGCGTTTCTTCAGTCATTTGTGTTTGCAGGCAGCAAAGTTCAGAAAACAAAAATAAAACCAACTCCTCCTCCTGGTGGTGGCGTAGGGATAGGACAGCTTGATAGTCTTATTGGCCCTTAATACTATATATTTTCAACCTGAGATATTCTTTCACATTCTAAATCATGAAATAAAAACTACAATGTGTCTTCTAATTTTCATGGTCCAATAATAGTGCATCCTTTTGTATATCATGTCAAAACATGGGTGCCCAAACCAAATTCTAACCATCTCTTGTAAAACTCCCACTCCTCTTAAATTCCTGCCTAAATGACCTTCAAAGTACCACAGAATCTCATCACTGCCGTCCACTGACCATAGGTAAGGCCAACCTTCTTCAGTTCGCTATGGCTAAGCTGCTGTCATGCTTTGATGCTCTGCCTACTGATAGTGGTAAGAATTTGTGTGTTTAATGCCACAGACAGTAAATATCACAATGTCACAAACCAAACATTAGATTATAGACGCTCTTTCTCTCGTTTCAATATTTAACAAAACAAAGAGACACTATATAGTTTACGGTGATACAGTGTCAATTTAGAAAAACATTCTCCTCCTTGAGCACATCTTCTTTTTGACAAAAATATTCCCTAAACCAAAATATATGCGCTTTCTTCTGCTCAACAGTCAGGTGTGGGTTTCTAGACAACCCAGAGATTACAAGCTCCATGAAGTGACGCACAGGCCCCTGGCGTGGGAAGCCCTCTTCCAAGTATTTTTCCAGGAAGATATGCTCATGAAAGGGTACATTAGATTCCTCTTCAAGACCTTTGAATTGGAAAAATACATCATGTTGAAAATATAAACAGGATGAACATAAATACAATCAAATAAACAATTACCAAAGTCATTGTCAATAGGATACTGCCACAATTTCCCTTCTTGAGTCCACTGGATCATTTCCTCAAAACCATTACGAGGCATATGATTGGTCACTGTAGATAAATGGTCTGCATAATCCACATCCCATAAAGTTGTCCAGGCTATATCACAACAGATTTATTAATTAATACTGAATAATCATATTGAAGAGTCAACTGGACATTACCCGTTTGCAAATCAGTTTTTTCTGAAGGAGTAAATATGTTCAACCTCTTTGTCGTAAACACGTTTCTCCTAATTAAATAAGGAAAAAAAGCTTTACAGACATGAATTAGAAAACATCACATTTCAAAACGTACCTTTTGCGAACACTATCCAGTTCTCCAGTGATACCTCTTTCAGGCGTGTAACCTCGGCCATCATCATCAAACCGTATCTGGTTAGCCGGACGAGTATTAGATCGATTTGGATTCTTTCCTATTTTCATTTCTGCTATTATTACGCTGTTAATAAAATGAAATTCTGTTACATACTACACAGAGATTTTTAAAATACAAGTTCATTTAACTAACCCAATATTATTCCCGTCTCCTTTCTTTTGTGTTTCAGTGATTGTTTCATGCTGCCGCAGTTGTTGGAGGAGCTCGGACTCAGCCTGGTCAGGATTGGGAAGAGAGGATGCTGCAGCAGATGCAGCAGCGACGAGGTCTGGAGGCAGTGTTTCACTATGAAAATAGGTACAGATGAGCTTTATAGTTCAAGCCCAGAGATACCACAGCATCCCTGTCCTCCTTACCTCTGCTGTGACGTTGTCTCTGTAGCATTCTGAAACATACTAATAGTGCTCTCCATTGATGTCATTCTTGGCTTTGGTATAGAAAAAATCTCTTTTCTTCCCTTCAGACTTTTTAGCTTCCTCTTATTAGTTACCTCTACTTTCATTTCACCAAGTAGGTCCAGTAGACCCTTCTTTCCACTCCTGGCTTTCTCAATAACAGGCTTTGCTGCATCGGGTTCATTTACGTTAGGAAACTGTGGCATAATTTCACCATCAGCCGCTAATTTCGAATTTACTTCAAGTGGAGGGCTTTCATTAACTGTCTCATTAGCTGGATTTCTGTTGTCCATTGTTGTATTGACAAACGCTTCATTCTTTTCGCAAAGTTGTGGTGGAAATGTTCTGAGTCCTTTAGCACTGCCACGGTTTATCAATCTGAAATAATAAAGCAGGAGTAAAACAACTATAATAGCCAGAACAATGGTGCACTTCACTCGATAAAGCTGGAGTACCTTACTTTGAAACCACAACAAATTAGATCATTTAATCCATGTAGCTGGTTTCACTTCGTCAACACAGTTTGGTTCCATCACTAGTTTCCACAAGCATATATCTTTTGCCTCTCTAACGGATTTCCGTTCCAGTGAGTCCCAAGTCTGAATCAACTCTTAGTATGTGAAAGATACAAAATGTTGTGGTCTAATTAATGTGTTTACAAACTGTGAATTGAACAAGACTCTATTGGGACCAATACGATGTATTTGTGACGCTCAATTGAACGAGGATGAAACATATCCTCGCTACGAGAACTTGACAAATGGCTACTTACCTTAAGATTCCTGTAGACGATTTCTCACATTCAGATGGAAAAACATACACATTAAAGAACTTGGTCAGGTTAGGACCTAAGAACCAACTCCGTAATACACCTTTATACATGTTTACACATATGTTTACGTTATGAAATGCCCTTATCTTCCACACGAGTCGCTACAGCATAAACTTACCGACGAAACTAAGAACCAAATCATTAGTTCCGACCCCATCGACGAGATAAGGCAAAATCAAGAAAATTAAATTACAATATGTATAACTATTTAATTTATTGTATTTAAAAACAAACCTGTAGTCGTGACACACTAATCAGAAAAATACAGTCAATTGGTGCTCTTTATATATCTTCCCTCTCCGTGCGCTTTCATCGCGATATTTCAACCGGAACTCAAAATGGCGACGGGTCACAGGCGCTGATTCAGAGCAGGGTCGTCTTCGGATTCTTTGCTTCTAAAACATGCGATGGAAGTTTATCGGAAGTTTTTGGCCCTACAAATTAAACAGATTATGACATTTTAACAGCAAATGTCTCGGTTTGTTCGCGTTCCGGATTGAAAGCACAGGAAACGCAACTTAAAATAGGTAAGTGTAACGAGAAGCCACTAACGCTAGCTTTATTATAGCCATGGAGCTAACTTACTTTAAAACTAGATCAATAAGCAAAGAAGCACTGGTATTCCAAATGTATTTAATTATGGCACACACTTAAAGTTAATAACTAATTTTGTAAAACTGGTTTTGACGTTACGTTTTTGTCCGTGAGTATGTCCTCCATACTGACAAGCCCGCTTTTTACTAGTGAACGGGTTTGTTTATAGTAGCGCTGATGATGACTGTTCCTTTTTAGTCACTATAGGTTTTGTTGAATGAAAGGAGAAAACATTGTTTTATACATCTAATTAATTATAAACTAATATTGCTTCCTGTAATTTTATATTTATGCGACAATACATTTACGTGAATCGGCGTTATTATTAATGTTGTCCGTATGTATCCTCTGCATTTGTAACACTTTCGAAATGATTGTCACTGTATTTCTCTAGCAGTGGAAATGGCAGAGGAACGGCGGCAGAAACAATGTTCAGTCAGTCTTCCCACTGAGTCCATGAAAGCCATTGCAGAGTCTATTGGTGTTGGGCATCTCCAAGAGGAGAGTTGTGTCGCCCTGAGTGAAGAAGTCAGCTACAGGATAAAGGAAATTGCACAGGTAAATCATCATAACACGATTCAATGCCTATAATATGCCATTAAACATTATTTTTCTTTTTTTTTCATAGGATGCACTGAAGTTTATGCACCATGGAAAAAGGCGAAAACTGACCACAAGCGATGTAGATAATGCCCTCAAGCTCAAGAATGTTGAGGTAAGTAATCTAACTACAAGGCTTAATCATTCAGTGGTCTTTGTTTACTAATCTTAAAATTTCGATCTCCCCATAGCCTCTGTATGGATTTCAGTCCCAAGAGTTTATTCCTTTCCGTTTTGCTAGTGGTGGTGGGAGGGAGCTACATTTTTATGAAGAAAAGGAAATTGATCTTAGTGATATAATCAACACACCTCTTCCCAGAGTTCCACTTGATGTCTCCCTGAAAGGTAACACTTAACACTAACCCTAACGCCATAGTTCATAATCGTATTTTAATTTGTTTGATTAATATCAATCCAGCTCATTGGTTAAGCATTGAAGGTATGCAGCCATCAATTCCAGAAAATCCACCTCCTGGTAAGTCCTGATAACAATGCGGCCTCTTCTGCTATTTTTGAATTGGGTTTGTAACGTTATGTTGATGTTTTTAGCATCAAAAGAGCAACAAAAAATCGAATCCACAGAACCTCTCAAAGTTGTCAAGCCGGGGCAGGAAGAGGAAGGAGCTATTCAAGGAAAGGGTCAAGGTGGATCAACTACTGATGGCAAAGGTCAGTGATTTATAATTGATTGGTTGAAATGTCATGCTGGGTGTTAAATCAGCAAATTTTCAATTTCAAGGAAAAGATAAAGGACTGATCAGATTAAAACCACGCAGCACTCACGAGCTTTCAGTTGAGCAGCAACTATACTACAAGGAAATTACAGAAGCATGTGTTGGCTCCTGTGAAGCAAAGAGAGCGGTAAGGATATTTGAACAATAATCAATTTTATGTGTTCCATTTATGAAATACATTTAAATGGTACTGTTTAATTGTTTTGCAGGAAGCATTACAGAGTATTGCAACTGATCCAGGCTTGTACCAGATGCTTCCTAGATTTAGCACATTTATTTCTGAAGGGGTAAATGAATCTTGTTCCATGCAATCTTGTTCCCCCCCCCAAGTATCTTAAAACATGTTCTTTATATTTTTAAAGGTTCGTGTAAATGTTGTACAAAACAACTTGGCTCTTTTAATTTATCTGATGAGAATGGTCAAAGCTCTAATGGACAACCCTACTCTATATTTGGAGAAATATGTAAGTAAAGCATCATGCACTTTAATTCATGTACTTGTTATTAGATATTTTAAAATGTGTGTATGTGTGTGTGTTGCACAGTTGCATGAGCTCATTCCAGCTGTTGTGACCTGCATTGTGAGTAAGCAGCTGTGTTTGCGGCCTGATGTTGACAACCACTGGGCGCTACGAGACTTTGCTGCTCGACTAATGGCCCAAAGCTGCAAAACATTCAGTACAACAACAAACAATATCCAGTCTCGGATCACAAAAACATTTACGAAGGTAAGAAAATGGGCTGCAGATTGAAATCTCATCAATCTAGTACTTTACAATAATATGATTATTCTCATTCTTCCAGAGTTTGCTGGATGAGAAAACTCAGTGGACAACACGATATGGATGCATTGCTGGACTTGCAGAATTGGGTACAGATGTGAGTATCATTTCAAATTACTTTTTGTTGTTTGCCGCTTTGTTGACAACAGTTTAATAGTGTCCTCTTTGTAGGTGATAAAAACACTTATACTTCCTCGGCTTGCTGTAGAGGGTGCTCGCATTAAAGCAGTGACGGAAGGGCCAGTGATTTCAAATATTGATAAAATAGGAGCGGACCATGTTCAAAGCCTCTTGTTGGTAATTGACTGGAGTTTATCTTTTTTGTTCTGTGTTGAGTGGTGACATGTAGTTGATGGTTTTATAATCTTTGATCCTAACTTGATTCTTTTCTTTAAAAGAAACACTGTGCCAGTGTTATTGCGAAAATCCGTCCTCAACCTGATAATGTGGAACAGTTTCGTGTGGACTATGGTTACCTTGGAGCAATGCTTTGCTCTCATGTAATGAAGGCTAGAAACCAGGCAGCTCTTCAGGCACAGCAGGTCAACAGAACCACGCTAACAATCACGCAGGTAAGTACAAATGACCTGCTTCTGTATTACGTGTACAAAAACGTGTGAGGTTTTCTACAGTATTGTGATATTTCTCTCTTAGCCACGGCCAACTCTCTCTGTCTCTCAAACTGGGTTAAGTGGCTCGACGGGACCTCGAACTCCCAGCATCATTAAGGTCCCCAGTTCCTTAACGCTAATGTCGCCTCGTCCAGGAACCCCTTCTCAGCCTTCTCCACCTGCCACAAAGTACATTGTGATGGGTACTAGTGCAGGGGCTGCTTCTACCCAACAGGTACAAATAATTTGCCAATAAACTATTCACATGTTTCTACAAATGCTGGATCACTGTGTATACAGTTAAGTTTGGCAAATTATGTTCTATATTTTCTTGTAGGTGATCACTCTCAGCTCTTCTCAAACGGCCTCTTCAGTCACCAGCACTGTCCCCAGTGCCTCATCAGCCCTGCAGCCTTTAGTGAAACTAGAGTCAGGAAGTGGAACTGCCTTGACTGCCTCTAGGCCTATGCAGAAATACATTGTTGTGTCATTACCAACATCTGCCTCTTCATCACTGGAGAGTAAAAGCTCTGTGCTTCCGACCTCCATATCCTCAACTTTAGATAATGCGATCAATCGGTCCAACTCTCCTGGAGCACGTACACAGTCGCCACACTGACCCATTTTAATGTTTTAAGAAATTGGTGCAGCTGGACACACAGAACTATCTCAAGACCCTAGATGGACAGAATCTGAACTCTTCTACAGAGCAGAAATTATTAAAAAAAAAGAAGAAAAAAAAAACTGTATATACAATAATGTCCAGTGGAAATTGTCATCTAATATGGTCTCTTCGTATAATATTATTATAGACTTAATGTGTTTTTTTTACTCCAGAATAAATCTGTTTTGTATAAATTACACAATTATGACTGTTTTGCATTTTTTTTTTGTATGTGAGTGCTATGTCTGCAGATATTTGTGCTGTGACATTTTTTTTTAACAATTCATAATATAGATGATGATTAACCAGCCACGCTCTTAAACAGTTTGTATACACACGTTTTTTATAATATAATTTCACACTAGTCCACAGTCCCAGATGCTAATATTTATAGCCCATGTTACATACATTGCTGTTCCTCACAGAACGGAAAGTGAACTTACCGCTGGAAAATGATGTAGGCGGGGCTTATGTCTGGCTGCACGGATATTATAATGGATCCATTGGCTGCACCTGACAGCCTATAAGGCTGCACACAGGGTAGAGTTGCGGTGCATAATGGGTCCAATCGGACGGGAAAAACCATACATTTGCTCTAGTGAAGAGGTCACCTTTTTTAATTGGAGCGCTGCCTTTATAGTAATAAATTGCTCGTTATCAATACTACTACTATTGTGGTCTATATTATACAGTATTCATATAGTATGTATGTATGTATGCATATAGATGTGTAATGATCATGTTACATTCTTGAAAACTCCCGACCCACAGGTTAAAATTTACAGTCAGAGACCCCTGTCCTGATAGATCCATGCAAACAACTACAAGTCCCAGAATTACTTGCGGAATCCATCCCGGACGTGCGTCGTGTGTGGTGTTAAATGCAGCAGTGAAGACATTCAGAAGCCTGTTTAACCCGTTATTATAATAGATCCATGGTTTAAACCTTCAGTTAACAAACATGAACTATAAAGTAAGAGCTGCTACAAAAGAAGACTGCACAGACATTTCACGAATGATCACGGTACGCTCATTTTCAAGTTGACACATTCATTTGATTAATCTCAGAATAGTGACGATAACTGTCTCAAACGAGAAATTCTGTATTTTGCAGGAGTTGGCTGTTTTCGAAAAGATGTCGGACCAAGTCAAGATTTCGCACGAAGGTATTGAAAGATTCCGACTTTAGCTCAATCTGAAACACAAAGGAGCACTGTATTTTGAACTTAGTATTCTTTAGTAGTCAAGCTGAGGAGTGTGTGAGACCACATTTTTCAAAAGTAGCATTCTATTCAATTGATATAGAAGAAATATTGATTTTAATGTTTAATCGATCATATGTGTATGTTTCAGAACTGGAACGAGATGGTTTTTGTCAAAATCCTTTTTTTGAATGTCTGATTGCTGAGGTGTCTGATGAGCACCGATCTAAATGTGGTATGATAAACATATTTCTTGGTACTCTTTGCCCACAATGAAATAATAATTCTAATGTGTATATTTAAATTCCAGGTTACACTGTAGTTGGATATGCACTTTACTTTTACACTTACAGCACCTGGAAAGGTCGAACCGTTTACCTGGAGGATCTCTATGTGATGCCGGAATTCAGAGGTGAAAATGTTCTCGACGTAGGCAAGATCACGATTAAAAATAATGTATTGAATTCATCTCATACCATTTTATTTATTTTGAATTAAAAGGTAGAGGTATTGGCAAAGGCTTGATGTGCAAAGTTGCAAAGGTATTAAACCGTTTTTTACCTCTTTACCTAGTCATAAAAAATAAAATATTTGAAAATGCGTTTCTCAGGTTGGGACAGAGAAGAAATGTGTCCGTTTGCAGCTGGCTGTTTTAGACTGGAACTCCCCGGCCCGAGACTTCTACGCAGCAAAAGGGGCTCAGGACCTGACTGACAGTGAAGGATGGCACTTCATACGCTTTGATGGTCCAAGCCTTGATAACTTGGTGAAAGAAGCTCCTAAAGATTAATCTGGATTTCATGCTTTTAAAGTCATGAAAATGTGATTGTTTTTTTTTGTTTTTTTAAATAAATAATAACTGAAACATTTGTGGTAAAGCAATGTGACTTCACAAAGTAGGCAAACATAAAATTTTTCTCTTCGTCAAATATGTCTGATATACTGATGAGCAGATGTCCCCATTAATAGCCTCAGGTTTTTGCCTTTTGTCCCAAATCCCATGATGCAGTGGACGAAAAAGTATTCACACACCTTGTTTTTTACTACTACCTTATTTAACTACCAATTGTCTTCTGAAGTCTGATGATTAGTCAATACACAAATCTATCAATTGAATAGGATTTAATCTAATCTCCATGATTTCAGTTCTCTGCTGGTCTCAGAGGTTTGGTAAGACAATAGTGGTCCCCAACATGTCCACTTAACAGGTCAGGAGATTAAAGTTACGTTAGACATATTTTTTGCAAGCATTGAACATGTCTCTGTTCAATCTGTCATATGGGACTTCACCCCATAGACTTTTTATAGATTGATGGATGCTAAGCCCCTTGCTCAGACATGTCAAACTCCGACAATTGTTCATCACTGATGACACGATCCCCAGTGTCAAACCTGTTGATGACACCACCATGCTCTGGTGATCTTTCACAAAAAACACAAAAACCTTTGTATTTTTGATTATGCAAAAATGTGGAAAAGTTCATGGGGTATACACTTTATATATCAAGCCACTGTAGGCCTATATCAAATACTAATGATTTGACCTGACAGGTTTAACACAAATATCACGTCATACATTTTCAATAATAAAGCATTTAATTATGTATAAAAGCAATAGCACAATACACACACTTTCCACATTAAATACAGTATGTTACCGAATGAAATAGCTGTAACTTTCAAGTGTGAAATGGTTCAACCATTTCAACGTTACTGGAGTCAATGAATGACCTTAATAAGAAATAATTAAGGTAATTCATTGACTCCAGTAACGAGCACAAAGTGTAAGGTAGAAGACATATTAACAGACATGATGTACAGTGCCTTGCGAAAGTATTCGGCCCCCTTGAACCTTTCAACATTTTACCACATTTCAGGCTTCAAACATAAAGATATAAAATTTTAATTTTTTTTGATGAATCAACAACAAGTGGGACACAATCGTGAAGTGGAACGAAATTTATTGGATAATTTAAACTTTTTTAACAAATAAAAAACTGAAAAGTGGGGCGTGCAATATTATTGGGCCCCTTTACTTTCAGTGCAGCAAACTCACTCCAGAAGTTCAGTGAGGATCTTTGAATGATCCAATGTTGTCCTAAATGACTGATGATGATAAATAGAATGCACCTGTGTGTAATCAAGTCTCCGTATAAATGCACCTGCTCTTAGATAGTCTCAGGGTTCTGTTTAAAGCGCAGAGAGAACCATGAAGACAAAGGAACACACCAGGCAGGTCCGAGATACTGTTGTGGATAAGTTTAAAGCCAAATTTGGTAACAAAAAGATTTCCCAAGCTTTAAACATCTCAAGGAGCACTGTGCAAGCAATTCTATTGAAATGGAAGGAGTATCAGACCACTGCAAATCTACCAAGACCTGGCCGTCCCTCCAAACTTTCATCTCAAACAAGGAGAAGACTGATCAGAGATGCAGCCAAGAGGCCCATGATCCCTCTGGATGAACTGCAGATAACTACAGCTGAGGTGGGAGAGTCTGTCCATAGGACAACAATCAGTCGTGCACTGCACAAATCTGGCCTTTATGGAAGAGTGGCCATTTCTCAAAGATATCCATAAAAAGTCTTGTTTAAAGTTTGCCACAAGCCACCTGGGAGACACACCAAACATGTGGAAGAAGGTGCTCTGGTCAGATGAAACCAAAATCAAACTTTTTGGCCACAATGCAAAACGATATGTTTGGCGTAAAAGCAACACAGCTCATCACTCTGAACACACCATCCCCACCTCAGCTGTAGTTATCTGCAGTTCATCCAGAGTGATCATGGGCCTCTTGGCTGCATCTCTGATCAGTCTTCTCCTTGTTTGAGATGAAAGTTTGGAGGGATGGCCAGGTCTTGGTAGATTTGCAGTGGTCTGATACTCCTTCCATTTCAATATAACTACTTGCACAGTGCTCCTTGATGTTTAAAGCTTGAGAAATCTTTTTGTATCCAAATTCGGCTTTAAACTTCTCCACAACAGTATCTCGGACCTGCCTGGAGTGTTCCTTTGTCTTCATGGTTCTCTCTGCGCTTTAAACAGAACCCTGAGACTATCAAAGAGCAGGTGCATTTATACGGAAACTTGATTACACACAGGTGCATTCTATTTATCATCATCAGTCATTTAGGACAACATTGGATCATTCAAAGATCCTCACTGAACTTCTGGACTGAGTTTGCTGCACTGAAAGTAAAGGGGCCCAATAATATTGCACGCCCCACTTTTCAGTTTTTTATTTGTTAAAAAAGTTTAAATTATCCAACAAATTTGATTCCACTTCACAATTGTGTCCCACTTGTTGTTGATTCATGACAAAAAATAAAATGTGTATATCTTTATGTTTGAAGCCTGAAATGTGGCAAAATGTTGAAAGGTTCAAGGGGACCGAATACTTTCGCAAGGCACTGTATAAATAATTAAATGAGGCAGAAATAAATCAGAAGTGTATGATTAGATTAGCATGTGTCACACCTCTCCTATGCATACTGTATTATAACATTAACATGGGATTTTTGTGTCACTTTTAAACATATGCGTTTCTTCCGTAGTTGCTGGGAACAGATTGAGATGGTGCCATAACCGAAAGGACGTGGTTTCGGGAAGATGGCTGGTACGGATAAGGCCTGTCATTCAAGGTGATAAAATTCAACATTAGTAGTTTATTGTAGAATCACTTTAAAAGGAGATCACTTACACTTTGTTATCTGTTGCTGTTCCTTTGCATGCAAGCAGGAGACACGTCCCTCCACAAATGGCCAGTGTTGCTGAAGCCCAACCAATGTACAGGCCCTCTCCAATCTCATATCTGGTCAAAGAGATTAAGGTAATGTAGTGGCTTTATGAAAAGGGGATATTTTTTAACAATCCATCAGTATGATTTGACTTACTTTGTTCCCGAATAAAACTGGTTAAAAAACTCCTGTGTGATGTTGGCTGCATACCAGGACACAGCAATCATGGTGCAAATTCCTACAACAATCGAATAACAACAATAGAATATTTACCAAATTTCAGACATTTTTTACATTTTTAAACACTTCATTATAGATGGCGAAAAATAAATATTATCCTTTTTTGCTGGAAATAAAACAATACACCAATGTAAACATGAGCCAGTACAGGCTTTTGTGCCCAAGCTTTGTTGACAACTCCTCAACAAGTGACGCACTGACTTATAGTTTTGTACTCATAGTTTCTGATGCAAGTGTTTTGACATGAGATTTCAGTTACATTTGTGTATAAATACTTTTAAATCATATATAGTTCTAGGTTTTTGTATGTTATTTATTCACCTTGCAATAGAAAGAACACCCCTCCTACTGCAGCAATCCTTCCTTTCAAGACATAGTTTTCTCCTCCAATTTTAGAGCATTGCATTCCAACCAGAGTCGCCACAAGACCGAATGTCCCAAAAACAATGGAAGCAATCATGAGAGCCCTCGACGCCTGGATGTACCCTGCACACAAACACACCAGGAACAGCTGTCACACAGTTTAAAACTGTATTCACAGTGGCTTCTTAGTCTTACCTTCTCAAAAACAAAAGACATTTTACATTTTCAAAATTCACATAGAATATAAATGCGTTATACAATTAAATAATAAAGATAAACAGTTATTAATAATGCTCATCAGTAATCACCGTTTACCTTTATTTCTTGTGGTTCCATCTTATCTTCTGTTTACCATCGATAACAGTTGAATGTTATTAATCACACAATACACCATTCAACTGAATATCCAAAATAATACATTCATTCTTGTAATTATTTCTAATGTTGGCAGCTAAACCACCAAAGTTTGAATTGTTTCTCTAAATCCCATTCAGGGATTCAGTGGCGTGAGTGCATGAAAGCTTTGGCTGTAAGCCTGATTAGTAGCCACCAATTACAGTCAATAAAACCATATATCACTGAAGCTCATACCACTGAGTGCCAGTAAAGAAGGAAAGTCGCGGCAGTTGTGCACTCCTGTCGAGTCTGTGGCACAGGACATCCAGAGGTTCTCATAGATGGTGGATGTAGTGATTACGTTACCATCCACTGTAGACTCCTTCCAGTATCGATTAGGCAGAGCGATCCCAACCATCAGCCAGGCAATAAAACCAAGGAAAGCAGCAAACGCCTCCACTATGGCATTCATGTTTGCCTGAATTTCCAATCCAAATCTGACAAGAAAGTATGGAATTGTAAGGTACCCTTCTCTGGGAATTCAATCTCTGTTCTTTAGGTTTGGCAGCGTAGTGTCAAAGTGCTTTTCCCATCCTGAGAAACACCTCGGAGGGACTCCTCAGAAACCTGAGATCAATGATTAATGACCACTTATAAATTCCCTTATTATTCCCCTTTCCTTTCAGGCTCTTCTAAGAGGCCAAATGTTTGCTTAACTTGTGAGACAACAGAAAAGTCCAACATTCGCACTCGGGTCTATTGGCCCAACGTCATTAGTCACATCCCGCGCCTGCTTTGAACACTTTGTCAACATTAACAAGCACTTATTGATGGGATGCAGGTGTTGTGTGGGACATGTCCGCTGGGGTGAGGTTGCAGTGTGGCTGACCTGCGGCTGACCAGCTTTTCTGATAACACTATTTGCCCCTCACAGCCATGCAACTATCACTGTGCTGATGCTCAAACAGACTCCATGCAATTAGTCGCAAATCCTCAATCCAACAAACACAGACAGAAATGGTTATATCACCTTTAACGTTGCTGTTTACAATATTAGATTCCACATTTCCATAGTTCCAATTGCAAGTATTGATTTTATTTACTAAATCATCTATCATTATTACTCTGTGGTGTTTGCGGGAGATAATTATCAAAACAATTGCTTTAGTATTTGCAAATACACAAGTACTTCGATGCTCGAGATTCATGTTGTTAGAAAGAGAATTCTTGGGTTCAACCTTTAAGAGTCTTTGGAATTAGAAGTAAATGTACCCATTCCAGGATGTAAGCCATGCAGGTACACTAGGGTTTAATATTTTTCCCGAAAATGAGACGTATTAAATCCCGGGAAAAGACGACGCCTTTCCCGGGAAATAGCTGTTGTTTGTTGTTGTTGTTTTTAGCCCAAGTAATGTATGATATCACTCAAATTTATAATCCAACAAAAGCTGCCGTCTCCACTAGTGTTTCACCAAGCGACTTGCTAGCTTTTCTAAAGTAGCCATAGCGTTTTCAGACGTTTTGTTGATGGGCTTTCTTCAAGAATTTCACTATTATGAGATTCTAAATGTCTGCCCAATCCACTTGTCGACCAGTGACGTGCGGTGTGGTTTGGAGGCACTGACTTCAGCCCTGTCAGATGAACATATATCATATAAATCAACAGAACCTACAGAGCGGCTTATTCACAATTAGTTTGGCTACAGCAGAATGTTTTCCATGGCCCGCATTGTTTGCTCAAACAAAACGCAAAAGTTCGTAAAAGGCACATTTCCAATTGTGTTATGGGTCTTACCTTAGTTATTAATGAACAGCACAGACCACTTATGTTCAGACCAGTTTCATGTTTAAGTCCAGATAATAGTTTGAGCGTAGATATGTAATCCCCCATTTGGGAATAAGCCCAAAGAGTTTTAAAGCGTAAAACAAAACGGGTGCCACCTCCATAAACTCCTGTGATTTCGCTGCAGCCGGCTCTCGGGCGTATCCAATTTCTAATATCAACCTTCTTACCCTTCTCCTCTCTTCCTTATCATTCCTATCGTCATTGGAAGCCGACCTGTTGCTGCCCTTAGTAGATAGAAAAAAAGAAAGGAGCTTTCTGATAGAATTGGACGAAGCCAAATTCTGGGCTCACATGTGCCCGGTACCCTGAGGCTGGCCTCATTACAAGTCGTGGTTTAGCGCGATTAAGACCCATATTTGTAGTCAAAAACACAATTTATGAGCCATCCTCTCAGCTGTAGACATGTTGATTGTAAATGAAATATGTTTGAACTTTGAACAACAATAAACGTGCTCTATAATAGGAGCGCACTGGATTTTTTTTAAAACTTTAATTTCCCGTTTCCCGTCATAACATTTCCCGGGAATCGGGAAATAGTTTTGATCAGATTTCCCGGGAATCCCGTATCCCGGGATTAAACCCTAATGCACACATATATCCAAACATACATAATAATCTTGACATATGATTTTGAAATGCCAGTATTGTTGTTTTTCTTTACTGGAGAGATAATGCACACTCAGCACGGGTACATTGGAGTCATCAATGATAAAGCAACTGCACTCTTTGCAATAGAAGTGTACAAAGCCTTATCTATGTTTCTTCTAATGATAGAAAGTTAAGTTTAGTAAGAAATAAAAGCAGACATACCTGGGAGGGCAAAAAGTGAAGGAAAGTCCCTGCAGTTGTACAGCCCTGTGGAGTCACTTGCACAAGACATCCACAGGTTCTCGTAGATGGTGGACGTTACAATGACACTGCCATCTTGAGTGGACTCCTTCCAATACTGGTCCTCCAAAGACACAAAAATTAGAATCCAACTCACAAATCCTAGAAATAATGCCACCACCTCGACAATATCCTTCATTTTTTTTAAAGGCTTGGACTAAACACTTGAACACTTCTTAACCTGTCCCCCCGCCCATCATACGTCACTTTACTTCGCTGTACTGCTGTCACCTTACATTGTGTGCACTTGGAAAGATTAGCGGAAGTCGCCTGAAACTCGCAAAGATCTATGGGAAACTCGCCTGTATTTGGGCATCGTCTGGTCCTCCGGTTCTGCGCAGTGTATTATCTCCCATAATGCGTTGCGTCAAACACGTCGTGTGTGGGTCTCACACCGGGTCTCACGCACGTGCACAGAGGGGCTCGGCTCTGACCAATCAGAGCAGTTCATCAGAGCGGGAGTTCGAGCGAGAGCCAGACGAGCAGAGTTTGTGGCACTAAAGTGTGGATTTAAACAAAACCGAAGGATTTAAGAAGAAAAAAAGTTCAGGATGACAAGGGACACTAAAATGTAGGTTCTCTTTCAGCTGAGGTTGAGCTGTTTTAATATGCATTGAGTTCTATGGGGAAAATTTCTGGGTAGCCCACGTGAATTTAGTCTGGTTTAGTCTGCAGTACCGCGAGAATCCCCCGAGCACATGAGTTATTCAGCTACAAGCTGTAATACCCTATCCAGTTATTATAATAGATCCATGGGACAGAGCGAGATGTATGTAAAGATTAACGTATTAATATTATGCGAAAAATAAATGGTAGATGTACGATCAGGAAACAATTATTTAAATTAATACATGAAAAAAATTACACACGTTTGTTAATAATCATTGTCATTAACAAATACTTATAACCAAGGACTACAGCATATATCAATATATTATTCCATTGTATTTTCAATAGAAAACGGACCAGACACTCGTCGACGGAACAAATAGGATTGTTTCTATTTCGTCCGTCCGCGTCCGTTGCACCCTCCGTTGACGGAATACGTCCGACGTGCGTTGGACGGACGCATGCGGAGGCAGTGGAGCCACTTCCATTCACCCTCATGGAGATACGGACGACGGATCCGTCCAAACATGTCCGTTTCATCTCCGTCTCCGTTATTTCCATGAGGGTGAATGGAAGTGGCTCCACTGCCTCCAACATCGGATTCCATCAACGGAGGGTGCAACGGACGCGGACGGACGAAATGGAAACAATCCTATTTGTTCCGTTGACGCGTGTTGGGTCAGTTTTCCATTTGAAATACAATGAATAATATATATATTAATATATTTACAACATTATTAAACATATATTGATATATGCTGTAGTCCTGGTTATAAGTGTTTGTTAATGACAATGATTATTAACAAACATGTGTAATTTTTTTCATGTATTAATTTAAATAATTGTTTCCTGATCGTACATCTACCATTTATCTTTCGCGTAATGTTAATCTTTACATACACCTCGCTCTTTTTTCTCTTGCTCTGTCCCCTTGGACACTTGCTGTGTCCCCTTGGACACTTGCTCTGTCCCCTTGGACACTTGCTGTGTCCCCTTGGACACTTGCTCTGTCCCCTTGGACACTTGCTGTGTCCCCTTGGACACTTGCTCTGTCCCCTTGGACACTTGCTCTGTCCCCTTGGACACTTGCTGTGTCCCCTTGGACACTTGCTCTGTCCCCTTGGACACTTGCTCTGTCCCCTTGGACACTTGCTCTGTCCCCTTGGACACTTGCTCTGTCCCCTTGGACACTTGCTGTGTCCCCTTGGACACTTGCTGTGTCCCCTTGCTCTCTCCTCACCGCCGTGCGCTCCCATCCACACACACACACACACATTACCCACAGAGCTACTGTACTTATGAGAGTCAGATCTCACAACACTGGATATGTTGGAGTTCTTTTCTCTCTCCATTTTTCCAATTGCTTTCAATAAGTTTAGACCACTAGTCCGTTTTACGGACGTCCGACGGACAGCAGCCAACGCGCGTCAACGGAGACGCGCCCGGTGGAGTCCAGACCTCACCGTGGCCATACCTCCAAAAGTACGTCACTTTAGTGGAGACGAGCGAACAGAAATGTTTTCAGATCCTACTCTGTAATCCCAGAGAAAGCTCCTCTGACTGATAATAAGGCTGTAGGATGTTACCATTGTTTTCATAAACTGGTCAGACATAGTTCTAGCACAGTTCATTTGTAAACTTATGTGTTTTCTTTTCACTTTCACACATGTTTAACTCATTCACTGCCCATGACGACAAAAGTCGTTCTATTGTATAGTGACGCTCACTGCCCAAGACGACTTAGACGACTTTTTCGTGTTATTACACGGGAGGCTGCAGTAATGTCTGGCGCACCTTGTTAATGACCCACAACACTGATATATAGTGCAAATGTACCTGTAATGATAAATCACCACCAGTAGGATGCAGTATTGCACCACAGGAGAGGTCATAAGTCAGTGGAGAGAAGGAGGAGGGGTGTGGGATCTTTGGACAGCGTGCTTCTGTAGCAGAGCGTGCGAGCATTGAGACAGATCAGCGATCTAGTTTAGCGATAGTATAGTAAGAGTGATGGCGAAAAAGAATAGTTATAAGCAGTATACACTGCTTCAGGGATTGACTCGCGGATCAGTGAGTGAGGTCGAGAGGGGAGAGAGCGGAGACCCCGGTGGAGGTCCGTCTCTGCAGCC